CAGGCCTCACTGCGTGTCCCTGGACCATAAGAGATACAGCCTCTGCTCTGGTGTCCCCCATCAGGCCTCACTGCGTGTCCCTGGACCATAAGAGACACAGCCTCTGTTCTGGTGTCCCCCATCAGGCCTCACTGCGTGTCCCTGGACCATAAGAGACACAGCCTCTGTTCTGGAGTCCCCCATCAGGCCTCACTGCATGTCCCTGGACCATAAGAGACACAGCCTCTGCTCTGGTGTCCCACAGCCGTTAGAGAGCAAACGTCTGTTCTGAAGTCCCCCCGCGGGCTTCACTGCATGTCCCGGGACCGTCACAGACTGAGCGTCTACTCTTCAGTTTCCCCATATGTTTCCCATATGATTCCCCATAGAGGTACTTTCAAAGGACCATGTACATAAAGAAGTGTGGCAGCAGTGCAGAGCTATTGGTGTCTCAACAGATGGCCTAGTATCTCCATCTCTGGGGCTGTGGATTCGAATCCCATGTGTGTGGCTGTAAGTTTGGGTTCTCCCCCTTGGTTGGGTTTTCACCAGCCACACAACTGATGCTCTCTTGATGAGAAATATCAACAGTGCTGTGGTCGCCTTTGGCATGAGGAGTAGATTAGAGCAGGATGACGGGATTAAGACTGATCCTAATTATCTTTCTCAGTAAACCTCTCTAATCTGAGGTTTATTTGAGTTAGTGAGGTATAGTAGTATGATTATTATTCATTTTATTAGTGCTATGCCTGTGGCTTTTATGTGAACCAACGAGAAGAGCAGAGTTTAGTCGGGTTAAGAGTGTGGACACCACTGAGAGGTGGTGGTTGCTTGGGGGCGGGGCCACAGCACTGGTGATGTCATTAATGATGTCAGTCAGATGCTCTAGGTTAGAGTCCGGGAGCTGGTTAATGTTTCATCTGCTGGAGGCCAGTTAGGAGAGACCTGTGGCTGACACCTCGGCAGGCACGTCAGCCGGTGTGTGCGTGCGTGTGCATGTGTGTGGCTGTATGTGTGACAGGAAAGAGGGGCTGTGGGAGGAGCGTCAGGCTGCATTGGTGGATTTGGTGATTTTAGAAGCTGCTTGGGCAGGGGGTGAGGGCGGAGTGTGGCTCATAGCATGGAACGTTCTGGTGAAAGTGTGCTTAGGGGCTGTCACAGCGGGCGCTTGGATGAAGTCTTGCAGCCTGGTTTGTATTGTGTAAAAGAGCCCCCCCCCCACCCAAAAGATCTGTAGGTTACCCTAAGGTGGGTGGAGCATTGAAGGCTTTGTGGGAAACATCCATTCATTTTTATGGGAAAACCCTAATTCTAACTATCATGACCTTAACCCATACCCAGCCCTAACCTTAACCATAAGTAACCAAACAAAATACAGGACTTTTGGCATCTTTTAAACTACATTCACAGATTTTTATAAAAATATGGTTTATACTGTGAAAAATATGTGCACAAATAAGCTAATAGGTGACAGGTTCTGCTACATTGTGGGTCCCCTACACACAAACCTACACACGTGATGCCGTGAGCTGGCCTCTGGCTTACAGACTGCAGAGTTCATGCCATGGATAAAGAGACTTCACTTCAGCAATAATATAGCAACCATAGTTAAGAAATGACTGAAACCTCTCTCTCTCTCTCTCTCTCTCTCTCTCTCCCCTTCTCTCTCTCTGTCTCTCCTCTCCCTCCTCCAGGTAAGGGAGAGGAGGAAGCCCCAGGAGCACACAGATGGGATGGAGGAGCAGGAGGAGCTGTCAGCCACCAGCCGCTGCAGCAAAGTCAACTTTGAGACGGTGAGGGTGGTGACATGTCTGGCCTGGCCACCAGGGGGGCGTGTTTCTGGTGTACAATAATATCATCAAACTGCCAGTGTATATTTTATAGGAATGAAAAATACCCAACACACCTACAGTCTTCATGTAATAAATAAAGGGTAATGGTATACGTTGAGTGCACCTTCATACTGCATTTATAATGCATTAATAGAAAATTCATAAGCAGCATGTATGTATTCGTTAACATACCTTAACAGCTTTATTATACATTAATAACAAACATTATACAGTAAAATCCACTTATAACGCACTTCAAGGGACCTGGCAAAACAGTCCCTAATATCCAAAGTCCGTTATATCCAGAGTTGCTGTATGTCCAGAACACAACTACAGGACACCATTTACTCATGCCACACCCCAGCAGACACACGTGTGGTATAGATTATTATATTGTACATGTAGTAATCCAACTTCACCTGACCAGATGCGTGACTATTAATAATCCCGACTACGTATCTGCGCTGGATATCACCGGCACGCCACGCGCCTTGTAGGCGGAGCTGCATGTCCGTTATAGCCGAACAAAACTACAGCTAAAAGCGGCCCTGGGGACCAAATTGTCTGTCCTTTATAAGCAAAATTCCATTATATGTGAGTCTGCTATATCCGATGCTTTTTCTGCATGTTCTTAAAGGTGCACGGCCGGGACCAGCGGACCTCGTCCGTTATAGACGATATTCCGTTATAAGCGAGTCCACTAAAACAGGATTTTACTGCATGATGATGACAAACATTATAATTGTACAATCATGCAATGTTTGTTAATAATGTATATTAAAGCTGCTAAAGTATGTTACAATGTTAAGGTTTGCTTAAATGCTGTTTATGAATGTTCTTTGAATGCATTATGAAGGTTCCGTTTATGTAAAGTGTTACCAAATAAAGTTTGTTAAGCGGACACAGTTGCTTGGGTTAGTCTGGCAGTACACACATGTGCGTTTGCTATGCGTGAGAATCGCCTGGCGTTTCTCACAGCTTGGCCAGTGCATGGTGGGTATCACCCGCTTCAGCTTGGGGTAGTGGGGGATGGAGGGTGGAATGCACTCATTGCTACTAATTAACAGCATGAGAAGCGTGATGTTAAGCATAATGGGCTTAATGTTTGACCGATTGGGCTGGGTGAGTAACAGCGAGGTGGCAGCCAGATGCACCAAGCGGAGCGACACGCTTGGGTCAGAAGATCATAGCAGGCAGCTGATGTGTTATGCAATATAAGCACAGACCAGTGATTCCTTCCCCTCAAATTCAGATGCGGAAACTGCAGCCTCACTTAATGCAACGCAGGGTTTCTGTCGCATGTAATGCAGTGAGTCCCCAGTCACATGCAGGTCATCCAGTTTTAAACCAGCACCAGAATTAGAATTTAGTGATTAATTGTCATTGTTGACACACCACAGCACACAACAACGAAATGTGTTCTCTTTTAACCCATATGTGACACCGTGACATAGCAGGGGGCAGCTAATTCAGCGCCCGGGGAGCAGTGCTTGGGGGCGGTACCTTGCTCAGGGTACCTTAATGATGCCTTGCTGGTCAGGGATTTGAACCTGCAATCTTTCAATTACAAGTGCGCGTCCCTAACCATTAAGCCACCACTGCCCACCACCCCTACATGCAGAAGAACAGGCTGATCTGCTTATCAGGAATGAAAACATGCCCTCACTATGCCCCTCCCAGCTTGGAGGGGAAGGGGGTTGGGTTTGGCTTCGCAGAAGACATAGACCTTGTGGAGGCTGTGCCTCACGGCCAACCTCTGGGGCTTTGCACGGAGGCAGGTCGTTGCTCCTCAGGTCTCTGACCCCAGCTTCCTCATGCAATCTGGCCCACATAGCCATGCTGCATGTCAATCGCGTCAGGACCCCAACCCCAGGGGTGGACATGGGGCGGGGAAAGGAAATCTCCCCCACTGTGTTTACTCTGTTGCCTCTTTGCTTTAAACCTGACTTCATAACCCAGAATGAAGGGCAGACTGGCGGAGGAGGCGGTCTGCCACCAGCTCTTTGTCTTTCTTGAGGTGTCGATTAGCTGCTTGGCCAGGAGAACAGGAAAGGCGATCAGATGTTCTACTGGTGACATTATTCACCCGGCTTCACTGAGCCTTTTGAGGAAATGGGCAACAGACCAAAAGCATGAGACCACAGAGCAGTGAATTTATCTGTGAGGAAAAGAAAGGCAAGAACAAGTCTTAGGCTTGAAGGGGGGGCTGTGAGTGCAGTGCCCCCTATGGGTCCAAGTGACAAGTGAGTCCCAGCACCATTTCTTGTCTGGCTGTTAACCCCTCGCCTGACATGTTATTTCCCTTTAATTTGATTGATGTGATTGATGTCATGCTTATTAATAATTTGCATTGGTTACTGTCAATGTCAATAAGCTTTTGAACAAAAAAACTTTGTACAACTGCTAAGCAAAAGGCCCTTTCTGAGCAGTTTCCCAGCAGCCACTGTGTTCTTCCTCAGCTCGCTGACTGTGGGTCTCTTGTTATGAGTGTGCCTCAGTAGGTGACCTCATCGCCGTGGTCACCTGATAACTGTTATCAGGGACCTGTGGAGTTCAACAAAACCTCACATAATGCCACTACTTCCTGCATTGCCACTGCAAAGCTAAAAAACAAGCAATGGAGTCATTGGTGTGATGCAATGGCTCCCTCTGTTGACAGTTCTTGGTACTGTGACTCTTCTGTTATGGCAAATCTGGTGCCTGTAAATTTGTGTTTGAACTTTCCTCTAACTTTGGCTCCTGGTGGTTGGCCCAACCCCCACAGGACTTGGTAGACTGGCACAAGCCCCTGGCGTGGCAGGTTGGGCATCTGCGTGAAAAGTATGACACATGGGTGCATCAGCCCGTGGACCGACCCATCCGGCTTTTCCAGTCTGAATTTTTGGAGGCCAGCACCAAGACTTCCTGGTGAGACTCACAAACCTGATCTGATTGGCTAGTGTGGTTAGATCTCTATGTGACATTATGAAGTATCTCTGCATGTTCTACGCATGGTGCATTCAGTAGTTAACACTGTATGTGTTTGTTTAGTGAAACTTTCTTCTTGTGCTGTCTATGTTCAGTAAGTGAGACTGTCTTCCTGTGTTTTGCGTGTTCAGTAAGTGATACTGTGTGTGTTTGTTCAGTAAGTGACTGTGTCTCCCTGTGTATTAAGTGATACCGTATGTATATATATATATATATATGTGTGTGTGTTCAGTAAGTGACTCCCGGTTGTCTGTGTGTTAAGTTACGTATGCCCTGCGTGTGTTTAGTAAGAGTCTCTATCTCCCGGTGCTTTGTGTGTTAAATCATATTCTGTGTGTGTTCAGTAAGTGACTGTCTCCCTGTGCTTGGCGTGTTAAGTTGAACTGTGTATGTGTGTTTTCAGTAAGTGATTCTGTTTTGCGGTGCTCTGTGTGTTAAGTTATACTTTGTGTGTTCAGTGAGTGACTCTGTCTCATGGTGCTCTGTGTGTTAAGTCATATTCTGTGTTCAGTAAGTAACCTTCTCCCTGTACTCGATGTATGAAGTGTGTGTGTGTGTGTGTGTGTGTGTGTGTTCAGTAAGTGACTCTGTTGTCTTGTGCTCCATGTGTTCCCAGGTACATGGTCCCAGTTGTGTGGATGCCCCTGGTGTTATATTTGAGCTGGTACTGCTATACCACCTTAGCACAGGAAAAAACCAGACTGTTCATCACCACAAGTAAGACTCCCCCCACTTCCACATATACCTTTACCCTCATTTACTTGTATGCTCATCTACCTGAAATATCACTTGTATAATCAAATCACATTCCCTACATTATTGTGATAGTGACATAATGGCAGAGCTTTGCCCAGGTTCTCTGATATGCCCACCCTCCGGTTCTCTGTCACTCCCACCCTCCGGTTCTCTGACGCACCCACCCTCTGGTTCTCTGACACACTCACCCTCCGGTTCTCTGACAAGCCCACTCTCCGATTCTCTGTTACTCCCACCCTCCAGCTCTCTGACACTCCCACCCTCAGGTTCTCTGACACTCCCACCCTCAGGTTCTCTGACACTCCCACCCTCCGGTTCTCTGTCACTCCCACCCTCAGGTTCTCTGACACTCCCACCCTCAGGTTCTCTGTCACTCCCACCCTCCAGCTCTCTGACACTCCCACCCTCAGGTCCTCTGACACTCCCACCCTCAGGTTCTCTGACATGCCCACCCTCAGGTTCTCTTACACGCCCACCCTCAGGTTCTCTGAAACGCCCATCCCCTGCTTCTTTCTTGATTGTCTGACATGCTCGCCCCTGCAGATTACTCATTCATGGTGCACAAGTACACCTTCCCTCTGATCTTCCTATTTGGTATGTTCGTGTGGTCCTTCATTGAGTACTGCATCCATCGCTTCGTATTTCACATGCGCCCTCCTGCCCACAACTATTACCTCATCACCCTGCACTTCCTGTTGCACGGGCAGCATCACAAGGTGAGTGGGGCCAGGGGGGTGGGCACCTGTGCTCTCTGCTCTGGAGTCCTTTGACACCTGACACCTGACTTCTGACCCCACAGTCCCCATTCGATGGCTCCCGCCTGGTGTTCCCCCCCGGGCTGGCCTCGCCTGTCATCGGCGCCTTCTACCTGCTCATGCAGGCTCTCTTCCCTCATGGACTGGGCCTGTCCATGTTCGTGGGGGGGCTGTGTGGCTACGTGGTGTATGACATGATCCATTATTACCTGCACTATGGCTCCCCCCTGAAGGGCTCCTACATGTACGGCCTGAAAGTCTACCATGTCAAGCACCACTTTGAGCACCAGCGAGCAGGTAGTGTGTCAGTGATGTGACTGCCCCCCCCCCCGCTTGTGACCCAACCTCCAGCCTCAGTTTGCTGCTCACCTCACCAGAGCCCCACTGATAAATTAACATGCCAAAATTACAGCTCGTTGTCAGCTAATTGCAGATAAATTGGTATCATATTGTTTATAATGGCCAAGTGTATTTTTATACATTTGACTCTCAATTATCAGTACTTTAATGTATTATGTTGCACTCTTATTCAAGTTATGATTTATGGCAAACAAAAAATTTATAATGTCATGTCATGTTCTCTTGGTGAGGACTTAAATAACTACATATAATAAATGTTAGGGAAAATCTTTGTTTAAGTTATGGTTGTCTGAAAAAAAAAGAATTTTGGCTATTATATCAGGATTTAATTATTGGATTTTTTAAATACTCAAATATAGAAATGAGCACTGGTATCGGAAAATATATTGGCTGGACTGTAAACCTCACTAACATTGCTCAATTGTAAATGGCAATAGAAAGTCAGAGCTGCTAAATCTGTGAAATGTTCTGTGAGCTTCAGCAAACACGAGAAACCCCCCCGGCCCCCATGAAGCTGTGTGTTTTCTTTTTTGGTTCTGTCTTGGCCCAGGCAGCCATGGAATGATGAACAGCCTCACTTTGCGTGATCTTGCCTTTTACTGTTGTTCTTTGTGCTCGATTCATATATAAATATATAAGAGTCCGTTTTCTGATGTCCACCATTGTCTCCCCCCCCCCCCCAACAGGTTTTGGAATCACCACCACTTTCTGGGATCGCCCCTTCAACACCTTAATTCCGGACGAGTCCTTTGAAGGCACTCACTGACTGGGGGGCACTGCAAGCACCTCCTCCTGTCACCCGATCTTGACCCTTGCCCAATCCCCAGCCCTGCTCTCTATATGGCTCCACCCCCATCCCACCCCCTGGCCCCGCCCCCCATAGCCCCCCCTCCTCTGTCCCCAGCTGTTTTTCTGCTTCCCTCCCTGATATTTCTGTCACCATGGCCGCCGATCACAGTGGGGAGAGTTCTGTCAATTAAACCACCCTTAAGAGGGGCTAATATATATTTATTTATTGATTCTCTAAAAACGTTCAAAGAACGGACAAAGTGTGGGGGAGCATAATTTTTCCGTGTTTCTTTTAGGGTTAGTGTTCATGTTAAATTAATGAGCATTTACAAAACGTTTTCTTGTTGGTGGTAACAGGAGACAGAGAGAGAGAGCGAGAGAGAAAGAAAGGGAGGGAGAGAGAGCGGAAAGGAGAGGTGGTGAGGGAAAGTTGATGAGGGAGTGAGTATGTTGCAGAATATGAGAGGTGTAGTACTGAAATTTGGCCTGGCGGGGGCGCAAGGGTCCTCTCCCGGTCTCTCTTCAGAGCTGACATAGCTTTGGTGCTGCTAACCACCCCATCTGTTTGTGAAGACGGCTGCTCTTCGCCAATCATTCTTTACCTTCAATGAGTCGGGGTGGCCCCTGGGAGGGGGAATGGGTGTGGTTTCGGTACTCTGATTGTCTGCGTGCTGTGCCTGTGCTTTTGGGTCACCGAGGATACCCAGTAAAGAACCCAGAGAAGATGAGGCCGTGGCCGGCAGGACTCTGCTGCAGTGGGGGGGGGCCCGGAACTGAGTGGTTACCAGTGGTGCTGCGGTTTGTGAGCAAGGGCTTCTGGGAGTGGAGACACGCCCCCTTGGGCTATGACCTCATCCATTGAAGAGCCCTGGATGTAGAAAAGCCCCCCATCTTCATCTCATGGCAGATATCTCTGGTGCTCCGTCCCTCCTTAAGGTGTCCTACTCGGTCTTCCTTCCTTAACACAGTTCCCGGCTCTGTTCTTGTTCCTTAAAACTTCCCAGCTATTGGGGGAGGGGCAGGGTGGGGGGTTGCAAGGAGAGTTGTAAAGAAAAACACTGGAAATTCATGGGAAACGCCACTCGTCCATCTTCTGTTGAAGCTGTCCTCTTATGATGGACAGGCTCAACAGGGGAAGCCAGTGACAGAGGGAGGGGGGGGGGGCGCTGGCAAAAGGAGGGCAATGCAGGGGTGCGGGGGTCTGAAGCTGATTTGAGAAGATGCAAGCAAGAAACACCTAATTAGTAGTCTGACTTACCACTAGTTTGATTTAAAAAAAAAAAAAGTAATTTGCAGATGTTTATGGGACATGGCCCACCCCCCAAATCCCTGGTCCCTCCCCCCCCCCCCCCATAGCACCTGACCAAACCAAATGATGTAGGAGTACAGGAGGGGCTGTTTGTTTGGATAAATGAAATATATGTGTATATTTATAAACAATGTGTTCGCTTTATTGAGGAAGAAAAATGCACAGCATCTATTTCTTTAAACTAAATGATACTTCTAATAATTTTCTAAATCTGTTTACTACAATACATTTTTAAACCTTTTTTTAAATGTCTATGCAAACACAACGCAAAATGTATTTGTAAATAAACACGTGAATATTTCTGAACTGTGCTGCTGTTTGTCCATTTTTGAGACACTCCTTCTGTGACACATTATTTTACACATACTGGGCAACTGGGTTTGGGGGTGTGTGGCTGTAAGAGTCAAAAAAGTCTGTTTTAGTAAACTTAGACTTGTTTCTGTGATTGGTGGATTACCCTGGCTTTGGCGTGGCCAGGCCTGTGATTGGCTCCGGCTTTAGCTCCAGTGAAATGTCAGCAGATATGACAGAATGCTTAACTACCTGTTTTTTAAATAGTAAATAATTAAGAATGAATAAATAAAAAAGAGCTGAGGATATTCCCGAAATAGCCGAATTTAATCGCTTACTGTGTTGTTTTATATGACTTTACAGTTTAATTTTATATAATTGTTAAAGGTGGTTCACTGGCTCCATTGCCTGACGCCCCAAGGGCTGGGGGCTGGGGGGGGTCTAGCATGTTCCACATGGTTCTCCAGTTTCCACATGCAGCCAGTCAGACTGGTCTTTCTAGATTGCCCATTGTGTGCAGTGTGTGATTTGTGACGGACTGGTATCCTGGTCAGGATATGCCCCTCCCCTGTGCTGCCTGAGATAGACCCCTTTATCCTGAAAAAATAAAAAATGATGTTCTGGATTAATAGTTAGAACATTTGATTTACAGTATATACACACAACTGATGAGCAATAGCTTTGCTAATAATTCATAAAGCTTTGTTTTATCCATTTGGGGAAGATCTGAGACCGGTATGATGAAAAAATTCATGATATGATATGATTATGATATGATATGGTAATGATTCGTGTGGTTATGAGGGTGGGGTGGCTCCCCCTGCTGGTTGCAGCTGCCAGAGCCGCCTGAGCATGAGCTTGGTAATGCAGCCGACTGGGCCGTAAACAGCCCGTAACAGACTGTGACGTCTCACAGAACCCACCTCGGTGACCCCCCAGTGTCTGCAGTGGGAATGGGGCCTCATTTTCATCTTGGGCTCTGCTCACATTTGGGTTCCTGTTGCTATGTCACCCCTGCAACCGGTAAGTAAGAACAGATGAAGGAATATCACCCTCATTTTTGGTGTCAGGTTATTTCCAAGCTGGATGAGACTGAATGTCACGTCCTTGTAAAGACTCCATCAGCTTCAGGAGGTGAATGAGAGCTTGCAGACAATGCATTCATCTGTTTCTTCTTCAACAAAACATTGTAACTTGCTGAAACCGGTGCATGATCTGTTAATGACAACGATCATATATGTGTTCATGGTAAATATGAACTGTCTTTCACAGGCTGTATATGCACAGGTATCAAAGGGATGAAGTATTTGATCCCCTTCCCTGAATTAACTCCTGCATGGCTGTGGGGCAGAAATCCACATGGGTCATTTCCTGTCTACATAGCCGCTGCCAGTGCTGCAGTAAAGTGGAAAGGTCAATAGTGAAAACTTTAGGCAAAATTGAGGCGTAACACGAGATGGAGGAACAAGTGAAAAACACCCTAGCAGTGTGAAATGAACAAAAATAAATTCAAAGTATTTTTGTGTTGTCTGGTTTCAATTACAATTTTATAACTCATAGCTTTTATATCCTTTAATTTCATTTGATCAAATTACTCTCTCTTTCCCCCCTTTTTGATGATTAAATGCATTTGTGTTTTATGGTATCTTGTGTAGTTTATCTTTTTATCTTAGTTCACTTTAAACCATTTTATTTATTTAGCTGATCTACTTTGTGCGTATTGAGACCATTAGGGGACGGGCTTTAGGACCCAGGGCTGCAGGAAGGGTTTGCCTGGAGCTGGCAAAGCAAGCAGAGCCGGGAGAGCCACCTCCCACACCCTCCAGTGAGGGAGCAGCCCAGCATTTTTCTGGCTGACTTCTGGCAACCTTGGTTCGGAGACACCCCAGCCATTACTGTCCGAGCAGAGTAAGAAGGGAATCCACAGGAGGAGCACAGACTTAAAAGCAGGATTCTGATAGGTACTGATGTCATTTAATCTCTTTTCACATCTCTTTTTAAACATCCCACCCCACTTTTGTTTTCTCTCCCGTCTCTGTCACTGTCACATCCCCTCTGTGAACGGGAGCCCCTTAACGGCTGGTCAGGCCCCACCGGGACAGATTCCATGTGCCTGTGATATCAGACCACTGCAGTCCTACTGACAAAGTGCTGCTGTGGAACTTTTCTGCTGGTTTGCAGTAGTTCAGTCGGGAGTAGTCTTACTAGTTGAAGTGGGAATGGCAGAGACTTCCTGTATGTTTAACAACTGAACAACTGGGAGTGACTAGTTTCAGTTGTGCATGTCTGCAGCGCAGTCTATATTTACATGTATTCGGGTGAGAGTGTGTGTATCAGTTCTGTGTGTGTATATGTGCTGTCCTTGTTTACCACAGATGGCTGGCTGCTTTACCTTTCCAGCATGCCTGTGTTATACTTACTGGCAATCTCTGGCCTGATCCCAGATAATGGATTTAATGTTGACTTCCTGTGTGATGAACTTTCGTGCGCTGCATCACTTCCTGTTTGGTTTGCCTCTGCCTGTGTGAGCCGTGGCTGTTTTATGAGTGATAAACGGTCTTCTTTATCACCACAGCCACAAGAGCACTGAAAGGCAAGGATGTTAGCTTCACAGGCAGTTTGTCTGCAGTGGTAGGTGAAGCTGACTCTGAGGGATCAGCAAAATAATTTTCTGTAGGTGCAGTTTTGTTGTCAAGTCTATAAGAAATAAAAAACACCAATATATCAGGAATGAACTACCAGAAAAGAATGAAAACCAGCATGTTATTATAATTTGATTGGATTGTCTGCTGGATTTACCTTAAACCTCTTTTCCCGATGGCCATCTGATTATTCACCCTGAGAGTCCCCTTTCTCCGTGGCTGACCTCAGCCTCGCCATTTGCCTACTGTACCTTAAACAGCACTAATATGTCTCAGTCTTTGGCAGCCATCTTGGATTTTGTGTTTGCAAACCTGCACACTCATTTCATCCAAATAAAAACTATAATATAAACAGGACTATGTTTCTAGTGAGTGGTATATTATGTATAACTGCCACCTTCATCTCTGTTCTGTTATTGGCATTATGTTAAAAACATCTAAACTGAAGGCCCCACAGGACAGTCCTGTTTTTCTTTTCGGGCCACTTGGCGGGGCCGGGGGGGTTGGACCTGCTAAGGCCCTGAAGTATGACAGTTCAGGCATCAGTAAAGGCACCAGTGTTTCCAATTGGCCATTTTCGGCAGTGAAGGTCCATTTAAGTGACTGAAATGGCTGATGCTTTGTATCCATGGTAACGCAGTATGTCACACCTGATGGATTTATACTTCTGAGATGTACATAAACTGACTGCATCTTTCATGATATACAAAATTATCATTTTCTGTCTGGAGGTACACTACAGGTCAGAAGTTTGGGCCTACCCTTGGATTTAAAAAAAAAAAAAAAACGATACACGGCTTTGTCAAACTTTTATTACAAGAAAATATTAGAAATACTTAAAACAAATGTAACTGAATGTTTTTCAGTATTTTATAGTTTGTAGTAACACATCATTTGGTTTTGAAGAAGACATATCAGGTCTGTCTTTAGCACACTGACATTCACTTTGTATTGGAATTTTGTTTACTAATTTCAGAACTTGATTTGCTTTGGGCGTCTCATTATTGTGGCTTAATAAACTAAACGATAACCACTTGTCTGCCTTGTCCCAGATCAGTTTGTGAGAGGTTCAATGCACTGTCTGCTCCTTGTTTCAGTCTTCTGTTGGATCTTCTTCTGCATCACAACTGATGTTAGAATTTTTATGTTTGTAATGGTTAGAAGGGCAAAGTTAACAATTCAACAGAGGGCTCAAATTGAAATTTTGAGTGAAGAAGGGCTCCCTCATTGCGAAATGGCCAGAAAGTTAAATATCTCTAAGCATGGAGCGACCTGCTGTTTACAGAGAAAAGGGTTGACAGTAAGCAACAGTGACCAGAAATGGTCTGGAGCAAGGAAAGTGACAAATTCTGAAAGTCAACACTTAGTTGTGACGTGCAAAAGAAATCGGAAGATGACTGCAGAGGTCTGAGGGCTGCGATTAATGTGAACAGAGGGAAACCGGTATCTCTTAATATAGTCAAGCAAAGACTGAGAGCAGCTGGACTGCATGGTCGAGTTGCTGCCTGAAAACCTTTACTTCATGATGTTAACAAGAAAAAGAGCAAACTACAGGCTTAGCAACACTAACACTGGAGTATTCAGGACTGGGAGCAGGTCTTCCGAACGGATGAAAGTCCATCCATGGGACGACTTGGACCAACATGTTTAAAAGGAACATCTAGCAAATGAGACAGAATTGTTTGTCTGCTTGAAAAGGTGCAGGGAGGGTTTGGACACAAGTTATTTCCAAAAACTGCTGTAAAGGATGCTGCTGTGATAAAGGGAAGGGCTGGTTATTTTGATTAAACTCGTACTTTGACACTTGCATTCATTAAGATTAATTCATTAAAAAAAATAATTCATTAAAATGCACTTATGATGCACAGTAAATTGTTACATAACACTTCAGAGCCACACGGTTACATTTAAGTATTTCTAATATATCCTTTTAATAAAGGTTTGAAAAAGCAGTGTATGGTTTATTTTTTAAAAAGTTGGAGGATGGGCCCAAACTTCTGGCTTGTAGTGTATATTGGGATCAGTTTAATTGGAAGAGTTGTTTGGGAGGAAGTCCATCCCCCATTGTTTTGTGTCAAAGTGTGGCTGTGCTGCTCAGATTTTATAGTGGGAAGGTGAGATTTGTCTTTGGTCAGAGGATCCAGAACACAGAAAGAGGTCACAAGCAGGGTGGCCATTTTAAACTAATATGTGAGAATCCTGTGACTCTGTCCTGTGCGATGAGGTGGATAGATGGTGTTTTAAGCATGGAGCTCAGTACGACTTAGCAGGAAGTCTATGCTGAAGCTCGAAACAGCTTCGTTAAATCAAACAAATACTTTCATTCCTGGGCTAAATACATCTTGCATATTTTATTTCTAACTACACTTGTCCCATAATCCTTTGCAGGATAGTGTATTTGTTAAACACTAGTGGTAAAGAAGCAGATGCTGATGAATAGTCATGTAGACTTTGTTCGAATATGTCACTGATTTTGGTTCTAGGGCGACCATGATGTCGCAGGGTGAGCACCATGATCTGGTGGGGACACTGACAGGTGGCACCTGGACCAAACCCACGTGTCCATGCTGCACCTCCCTCAATGTGGAGCCCCTGGTCCTGATGCAGTTAGCAGAGAATGTTGACCCCGTCACCAAGAAGTGGATCATCTCCCGCCTAGAGGCCCCCGTCAGAGATGGGGGTGAGCAGAAGGGAGCTGAGGTGTAATATGAGGGATGTTAGTAAGGGGGGGGGGGGCAGCAGTGTCACAACATGGATGGACCCATTTGTTGCGCCCCCTGCAGGAGCACAGCTGCTTGTGCACTCCGGAGAAGACGACATTGGAAACGTAGTGGTGCTCTCTGCCCCACGCTGTACTCAGCTGCATGTGACGGAGGGCCTGGGCATCTGCAAGCCCTACAAGGACGGGAACATGACTCCCTTTTCCTACCATGACCGCAACAATTTCAGCAACGTCGGTATGAACACAGTGCAGTTTGATAAAGGCGATACTCATTGACAAGTGATAATAACCGACTGTCGATGCTGACTGACAGGTGATGTAGACTGACTGGTGTTGTAGACTGACATGATATAGACTGTCTTTTGATGGTGACTGACAAGTGAGGTTGATGGACAACTGATGTAGACTGTTGAGGTAGACTGTTTGTGTAGACTAACTGTTAATGCTGACTGACATGTTATGTAGACTGACTGGTGATTTAAACAGACAGATGATGTAAAATGTCTGTTGATGTTGACTGACAGGAAAGGTCATTGGACCGGTGATATACACTGTTGATGTAGACTGACTGTTGATCCTGACTGACTGTTGATACTGACTGACATGTTACATAGATTGTTGATGTCAACTTTCCTACACAGACGACATGCAGGTGTTCCTCACGCTTGCTGAGCGTCAGTACGTGGTGAAGTACCAGTTGAACTTTGTACGTGCCAAGAAGGACCGTACCATTCCAGGGGTCCCAGAGTCCCGCGGGGTCCTTTTCGCCAGAGAGAGCCTCTGTGAGTCTGTGGGTGGATACACCTAGATCACCAAAGAGCATATGAGTGTGTATTCTCTACACCTGTATTGTGTGTTTCCTGTACACCAAAGAGAAGTGAGTTTGTATGTGAGAGTGTGCTATGACTGTTCCTACAATTTAGCTGATGTGCAAGTGAGTGTGTAGGTGCATTTTCACGTATATTTATCTGATTCCTGAATATCAGTAGAATGTCATTAAGAGACTGCTTTAGTGCAATGCAAAGCATGCTAATTCCTATAAAATTGAATGGCAGTAAGTCATTCATGTCAGGTTGTATTAGCTACACTGGGTAGGAGGGGAAAACCCCCTTCCATTGCATGGCCCCTGCCCCTCTCGCTCTCCTCTACTTCTTCCCTCAACCCTTGTCTCCCCTATTTGCAGTTCGGAAGCTGGAGAAGCTGGGCATAGTCAAGGCCGTGATTGCCCTGCATGATCAGCAGAAGCTGGGTGCCCTGGCACAGGCCTGGTATGCCAAGGGGCAGCTCTTGGGCCAGCCGCTGGGTGAGCTGGGGGAGGGTGGCAGGAAGTGGACGGTACCCTACCATGGGTTGAGAAAACTACGATTTCCTGAGCAAAAACAATAAACAGATACCTTCATTGTGTGGCTTAGTTAGTGAGCTAATAGGAGCTACAACCCAGACAGTCTTAGAACGTATTCAAAGTTAGAGCTGAAATTATACTCCACATGTCAAGCGAATGATGTTGAGTATCTTGTATGTGTCAAGGTCTGGGATATATTAGATGGGAAGCTAACATACAGTACTTGTGTTCAACATGTTGAAAGCAGACGAAATGTGCAGGGATAAAGATCTGAGTGACTTTGACAAGGGCTAAATCATTAGATGACTGGGTCAGAGCATCAGTGGAACAGCAAAGCTTGTGGGGTTTGACATTAAACATGTCGACCGTAAGTACCAAATGTTAGCATGCCATCTAATACATCTCAGACCGCAACATGCACTGTTTTTATGAGATAGTTGCCATTATTCACTTGACAGGGGGGTGGTTACAGTATTCCTGCTTGTTGCTGTATGTCAAATGAGCCTTTGGTCTGAGATGATTGGCAATACAATACTGAGTGACTTACAGTAGAGGGAGGGGTTGTAACTTATGTGCACTCCTTCAGATTTGAGCCCACAATCTTTGCAGTCTTAGGACAATGCACTACTTTTTGAGCTACAGGAGCTGGATGAAGAGAACTGTAAAAAACATCAGCTATCAGTCTCCTCAGAACTGTATTTCCAGTACCAGAGAAAACCTTGTGAACATTTATTTGATGCATTTTTATTGTAGATATTTACACTTACATTATGAAACTCTCTTGTTTTGACCTTATAAAGGCACAAAGAAGCCATTTTAGAAAAGGATATATTATTATATGACAGTTAGTGCTCTATTATAAAAAAGTGATTTATGCCTGTGTGGTGACACTCCTCTCTACTATCCAGACTCCATCCAGGCCTACTTTGGGAGCTCAGTCGCCTTCTACTTCAGCTTCTTGGACTTCTACACATGGGCCCTGGTACCACCCGCCTTGCTGGGGGTGGCCCTCATGCTGCTCCCCATGTTGCGCAGGATGGCCGGCGGGATTAATACGAGGGAGGGGCCGGAGGAGGGGGAGCCCTCCATCAGTGGGCTGGCAGTGCAGGCGGTGTTCAACATGCTCTGGTCCACGATGGTGATGGAGCTTTGGAAGAGGCGTACCGCCAGCCTGACCTACCAATGGGGGACCATGCAGCTGACGGAGCACTACGCTGAGCCCCGGCCTGGGTACCATGGGCCCCCCGGGTGCAATCCTGTCACCGGTCGGCCTGAGGCCTGCTTCCCCGACTGGCAAAGGCAGTTGCGTGTGGCGCTGGTTTCGGTGCCTGTGGTAGGCTTCTTCCTGGTCCTGGTGGCTCTGGGCATGGCCAGTTTCTACTACTGTGAAGCGCTGGCCAAGAACTTCTATACGAGCTACGATTCCTGGCTTATGACCCCGGTGCTCTACTTGCCCTCAGTGGCTCACATCGTGTATGGCAACATGCTGGGGACCCTGTATAACAATGTGGCCCAGGCACTCAGTGAATGGGGTAAGGAAATGCTGGAATGGCCTGTGGGTGAGGGTGGGGGGAGACTTGGAGGCTGAGGGTGTGGGGGCCAAGTGTAGGAGGGAGATAGTAAGGACAATAATTGGCAGATGTGAGAGGGAAACCAGGTATAGATCTGTGCTCAAGTGTGGAAAAGGGTGCTTCTCACTGGCTGAGAACTGAGGAACCCTGGAAGCTGCTGTCTGATGCTTTCTCTTCCCTTAGAGAACCACAGGGATGAGTCTTCTTACCAGAACTATCACACCACCAAAGTCCTAGTGGTTAGTACTTTTGATTGCTCACTTTGCCAGACTGGCTGCTGTCTCAGATAAGCCCTTCTAATTCTGGTCGGGCTGATAGCATTTGAGATGAAGAGACCAACTTGTTTTATCTGCCTGATTTCTCAGATCCACACCTGCTCCCAACTGTTAAGGTACCTGTGAGCTCAGAGCATTATAGTGATGAACTTCTCTGTCTCTTACAGTTCAATTTCTTCAACAGTTTTGCTGTCTTGTTCCACATTGCCTTTGTCAAACAGGACCTTCCTTTGCTGAGAAAGGTAAGAATACCCTTTAGTTCAGATGCTTTATTAGCATGTACCTGAGTGAGGAGTTTAGATGCTCAGTTAGCATGTACCTGAGTGGGGAGTTCAGGTTCTCATTTAGCATGTATCTGAGCGAGGCGTTCAGATGCTCTATTAGCATGTACCTGAGTGAGGAGTTTAGATGCTCAGTTAGCATGTACCTGAGTGGGGAGTTCAGGTTCTCAGTTAGCATGTACCTGAGTGAGGCGTTCAGATGCTCTATTAGCATGTACCTGAGTGAGGAGTTCAGATGCTCAGTTAGCATGTACCTGAGTGAGGAGTTCAGGTGCTCAGTTAGCATGTACCTGAGTGGGGAGTTCAGGTTCTCAGTTAGCATGTACCTGAGTGAGGCGTTCAGATGCTTTATTAGCATGTACCTGAATGAGGAGTTCAGATGCTCAGTTAGCATGTACCTGAGCGAGGTGTTCAGGTGCTCCGTTAGTGTGTACCTGTGTGAGGAGTGCAGGTGCTCTCTTAACATTTATCTGAGTGAATTCAGGTGCGAATGAACCTGTTTGATTGCATCAGCGATGTCACCAGGTGAACAGTTGCTTCCGTGTTGCTCTGTGTTTGACAAGCTCTCTGTCTCCAGCGACTGGCTTCTCTGCTGATCATCACCCAGCTGGTTAATCAGTGCAGTGAGGTTGTCATCCCTTTCCTGGTGGACCGGTTCTTCAGCAGCTCTGCAAACAAACCAAAGGAGGACGACCCCGAAGAGGACCAGCTACGAGCTCAGGGCCGCTTGCCCGCTTTTCCCGTGAGCTCTCACTCCATTGCATTCCTCTCTGATTCATGCTGTTTCCCATCCCAGTATCTCCATAGGCATCCTGCAGTGTGTATGCTTGATGAGTGTATTTGCATTTGTGGTATTTCTGGAGTTGCCTTTTCCTGCTTTTTACTGGACATATGCAAACACCTACGCTGTAATGATACTCATTTGACTTTATTCTCGTATTACTGCAGAGATGAGGTATAGCAACAATACAGTAATGATAAATAATATAATAATGACACTGCAATGATGATGTAGTAATGTAATAATGTCACATACAGAAACCTTGAAAGGCAAACACAGCACTGTCTAAAAACAAGCCTTGCCTTCTTTCCAGATATGGTAACAGTATGTGTTTATATATACACGTGTGTATCTGTGTGCATTCCAGGGCCTGTTCCCAGAATACCTGGAGCTCCTGGTGCAATATGGGTATTTGAGTCTCTTCTCCTGTGTGTATCCACTCACCGCCCTGCTGCTGCTAATCAACAACATCACAGAGATCCGCACCGATGCGTTCAAGATCTGCAGGCTTTTCCGGAAGCCGTTCTCTGCCCCTGCTTCCGACATAGGGGTGTGGCAGGTGTGGACTGGGGTGGGGCACTGGGTAAATGGGCTGGGGGTGCAAAGACTGACTGGTTCACATAGGAGATGTGTCACTTGAGATAAGCGAACATCTTAGCTTTTGACTATTATGTAAAAATCAGGAAAAGGTGCTGGCTGCAGGGGGCATGAACCATTTTAAAGACACGAGTTACACAATGGGGACACAGAGCCTCAGACAGTGGCAAACCACAGCAAGGTGGATCCCCTGGAGGGCAGGAGGATAAACAAGCCCTGTGTCTTTGACTTTGAATGTACACATGCCTTAGGCCATCACATGTAGCAGTAGGCAAATAGATACAAATGTTAGCACTGTGTACTTGCCAGTTACTCCTGGTAACTGCTGTTGATTAATTTTCATCACATTACCTCAGTTACCCATCCACACCCTTCTCTTATGACCATGCAACACACCCTGCATCTATGGTCAGTCCATCCCCAATTAGTTACACCCTTATGATCTTCTATTTGATACGAAATGTTGTTTGTTAAAACAGAATGTCATTTGTACCCATCTGCCTGTGAATCTCCCTTCCTCTCTCCCAGTACGCCTTTGAGATTCTTGGTTTCGTCTCCGTCGTGTCCAACTGCTGGCTGTTGCTGTTTTCCCCGGGGGTGAACCAGCTGATGCAGGAAACCGGCTTCAGCAGCCATGGTGCTCTCATCTTTGCCATCATGTTGGAGGTAAGGGGCTCTAGAGATGGAAGCAGGGTGGTGAGAAGGTATTACAGTATGAGAAGGTGGAGGAATGGGGGGTGAGCAGGTATTACAGTATGAGAAGGTGGAGGAATGGGGGGTGAGCAGGTATTACAGTATGAGAAGGTGGAGCACCATGAGGGTGAGGAGATATTACAGTACGAGAATGTGGAGGAATGGATGAATACAAGCAGACAACAGAATACAAGCAGAAGACTACTCAGCTCTATTCAAATACCTGCTTAAACAAAAAAGTCTTTAGTTGCTTTATAAAAGGGTCAACTGACTCGGCTGAGTGCGACGCCAGCGGGGGAACTTCCCGAAAGCCTTAGTGAAACAGACTGAAAGGCACAATTAGTTGGGTACCTGAGCCGACTATGAGGCCATATTGCCCAGACCTAAGTGCCCGATTGACTAGTTTGAGAAAGATGGAAGAACGGGAGGGTGAGCAGGTATTATAGTATGAGAAGGTGGAGGAATGGGGGGTGAGCAGGTATTATAGTATGAGAAGGTGGAGAAACAGGAAGGTGAGCAGGTATTATAGTATGAGAAGATGGAGAAACAGGAAGGTGAGCGGGTATTACAAATGTAATAAAGTATGCTGATAAAGTTGTACAGAATAGGATACAGGAAAACTGGGAAATAAGTTACTGGACTTTGGACTGTTTACTTTGGATCTTTGGACTGTTATCCATGGATGTTACTTCCATTTAGGCCACTGATATCATGGCTTACACTGATTTTTCTGAACAAGCCTTTTAAAAACAAAATTGACTGCCTCACATTTGTTTCACTCTTCGTGAAGCTGCATGTATTAATTGGCCTGTCACCGTATGTTTCATTTTGTGGTATGTTCTGATATCATGTATCCTGTGGGTTCTGTATATGTTAGAAAACACATTTACCCAGCACCTGAATGACACCACAAATCTGACACCATAAGAAGTGACTAGTTTTACTTTGATTGAGTAGTTAAGCACCAAGGCTGGGGTTTTCCTGCCATTGATATATAGTATCATGGAGTTCAAGGATAGAGCAACTTCTGGTGTGAAGTATATAGATGTACAGTACTGTGCAAAAGTCTTAAGCAGCCAAAGATAATGATGGTGAAATGGTCTTTATGTTACTGTAAAACTATGTTAGTATGCCTGTCAAAGTTTGTCAGCTTAGCCATTTCAAAACCTCTGTTAAAATTACCCCATTATTTCCAGCAACCATACAATACACCCATGTATTTTATTTACTTGACCTCTAGCACACCTCATATAGCTAATCAATATCTCATTGACTTTTTTTTAAACTAACTAATTAATTAATTAAGTGAGCTGGTGGTGAAATTTAACAAACACATAGAATGGCTGAGGTGTCCCTGAGGAGAGGTACCTGAAGCAGGGTTCATCTAGCCATCCAAGTAGATATCAGTAACTTTTTGGAGAACAGAAGAAATTTTTACTAGTTTTTATTGTGTTACTCTTAATTTGCTCATGTTCTAATGTTAAGTTGTGTTTTTTAAGCAAATGTGCACCTACTACCCAGATACCCCTTGTTAACCTGAGGTGTGGCATTTCTTGCAGAGAATGAAAGCTGCAGGCTTGTGTCTGCAGTTAGGCCATGATCTGCACTAAAGGGGTTGACCAGTAGAGGGCATTACTGCACTCTTTAATTTTAGTTATGTCTGATGAGGAAACAAGAGGCTGAATTCAAGCGTCCATCTTAACCACAAGGACAACTCGCAGGCTCGTAGACTGCATGTATGCATGCGTGTGCTCCTGTGTTCACGTGTGTGCACTTCCATGGTGATGCGGCATTGACACTGCCCCTCGGGTGTTTAATTGGGTCTCATTTAGGACCAGTTTCTTTGCTCATAAGTATGTTTGTGTTGTGTACCTCTTTGTGTGTGTATGTGTGTGTCTCTCCAGCATGTCCTCATCTTAGTGAAGATGATCGTGGCCTTTGTCATCCCAGACGAGCCGGATTGGATCAGCCTAAAAAAACAGCAGATTGAGTTTCGTTCTGTGCAAGCCCTCAAACAGCAGGTCGGATGAACACACAGCTCTTAATGTAGACAAGCTTTTAGTTGAACCATTATTTAAAGGTTACTCAGTTGCTAAAAAGAAGCATGTAATTGAATAACTACATGACACCTACATGACACCTACATGAATACATGAGCTCAGTTGTTGGGTTGACTGCGGCTTCTGTTTGTTCTATCCTTTAGAAACGGCGATGAGAGCAACCAGAGGAGGGAATGGGGTAGTTAAAAACAGCCGCCCCACTTTTAGCAACGGTACTGAGGTGGAGTAGAACGGCAACTAAGAAGAGAAGAACAGGGTGGTCACCAAACCCAGGAGAAAAACACAACTCTTATTATGGGATATGAACTCAACTCATCATCTCCCTCTGGAGGACATATAGTGTTACTGGCTCAGATGGCATGTTATTAATTAAAATGGGGGGCAGGATAGTGTATTCAGTGGATAAAATGTGTCAAATGAGGCTCCTCAGAGAGAACCTCAGTATTTATTCTGAAAAAAGAGTGAATCTCTTGAAATTCTTTGGGCACAGACTGTATATTTGAAATGCATGTAAATGCTATAAAAATGCTTTTAAGAGTATATAAACTCTTATAAACACATTGCTGACAGGGTTGTATTGTATATGTTGTAGTGCAAATTTTATTTTTATACCTCAACAGTGTGATGCATGACTGCATACCGTATATTTTGGTTCTGAGACCATATATTTGTCAAAAACACCCAATTGGGGTTATTGAGAACTGCTGTTTGGCCAAAGCCATCTACATAAACAAACAAACAAATAAATACATGTTAATGTCATAAATATGTAACACATGGTTGCTAATAAACACAGAGTAGTTACACACAAAAAAATGTTTACTTTTCACCTTTGTCATTCTGTGTGATACAAATGCATTTTTCAGACAGGAGCCTATGTCTGTTTGTAGTATATGAATGCTTAAGCCACTGACATTTACAGATATTGTATACTGCAAGATTAAATAAAACATGTGGTTGGTTTACTTTTTTATAATTCTATCCCTCACTATGATCCCATAATAGATGAGAGGTTGTGGAAGTTGATGAATGGATTAATTAATGAATGTAACTAGGAATATATGTCTTTAGGTAGCAATTAGGAAACTGGAGAGACAGACTGAAGTGAAAACTAGAAACAGGCAGAGAAACAGCAACAAGGTGCAATGGTGAAAGGATGTATCTTCGGCAGGGAGACTGAGATTGAGGAAAAATGTGTCTCGTGAGAAATTGAGGCTGAGAAAGGATGCTTCTGTAAATAAGACAAGTTGAGACAGAAAAGATGTACGTTTCACAGTGACAGATTGAGAGAGAATGTATCTTTGGCAGTGAGACAAGTTGAGATTAAAAAAGGATGCATGTTTGAGTGACATAGATCAAGAAAGGATGCATGTTTGACAGTAAAATAGATTGAGATTTAGAATGTATCTTTGGCAGTGAGACAGACTGAGAAAGGATGCATGTTTGGCAGTGAGACAGCTCAAGATTGAAAAATGATGTATCGTTGACAGTGAGACGGGTTGAGACTGAGAAAGGATGTATCTTTGGCATTCAGATGATTGACTTTACAAACTTCCAGGTGTCTTGCCTATTCTTGCTTTATCCAGTCTTCTGAGGGTTACTCTCCAATGTTGTGTTTCTTCATAGGCATTTTCCCACCAAGGTCAGTCCAGTGTACACCTGCCTGCCATGTGCGCCTCTTTCAGGTGGAGCAGTGTTACCACCTCCATGTCTGCCTGGGGTAGATTCTTCCTTTACATCACAGCGCTGTGATGTTCAGTGCATAGATGTATATTGACCACACATGCAGTGTCATATTTTCATGCGCTATATATAACTCTCATTTAAAACCCAGGAAAGCCATGTTCAACCACCATGGTATATATGATCAAAGCCTTTGTGGACAGTGAAAACAGTGCTGTGGAAACCAAAGGCCTGCATTGTACTTGCTCCGTGGAAACTTCAGGTTGAAAGCTGTGGAGATCTCTGATGGTTTTTCTAAATGTAGCATGCTGTATCCGTGTCAATCTGGGACCAGGGGAGGGGTTGGTTTCGGGGGGGGTTCCCCCTTCAGGTACGTCAAATGTACTATGTAGATATGTTTTTAAATGATTCTGTGGATGATTAGGCACGCCTAAATCTGAACAAATCAATAAGCACACACACTAGGGCACCCCCCCCCCCACCCAGCAGGGTGTGGCCTGACCAAATATCTGCCATTTATTGCTTACGCCGGATTTATAATTTACAAAAGCAATAATAGCTGTGATACATGTGCCACTGTGATATTTTATCATTCATGCTGCCATTTGCACACTGGGTAAGACTGTTAAAGTTCCATATTTAAATCTCACCCTTTGCCACTCCTAGTAATAATAAGCACAACACAGACAAAGATTCTGGTCAAATTTTTAATAAATAAATATAAAAATAAATTAATCTCATCGAGACAGAGCGGTAGTATTAATTAGGGTATACTGGGTATACAGTTATACATATCCTGGCAGGTAGAATGCAGGAAAGGTGGACGTGGAACTCCACATTAAAGCAAAACAAGGAGCCAAACAGCCATAAAGGGGCTTCCTGATTGTGTTTCTGTTGTGAAGGTTGGCAGGTCTGCACCACGCTGACACATATCCGCCAAGTGAAGCCTGGGCTCTGCCTATCTCACTGTTTCTCAAATCGGTCCTTGGGGACCCCCCAGCTCATGCGGAAGAAAAATGTAGACCTATCTGGTAGGGAGCTGGGAGAGAGAAAAACCATGAACCATCCCTGAGGACTGAGTTGAGAAACACTGGCCTCTCTCATCTGAGGGTCTGTGTTGATTTAAGGACACAACCATGATTTCCACCCCCTCCAATGGAGACTCCAGACTTGAGCACTCTGAAAACACCTATGATCCGCCCAAAGACTTAAACAGGGTGGCACAGTACTTACAGCGAAAGTGTGTTAAGCTCAAGATACAGGATATTTACAGTCCCCATGAAGTGGTGGCAAATATCTGTACAAAGCAGCTTCAGCCCAGCCCACAGCTTTAGCTAAAACCTGTGTCATCAGATTATCCCGCTCACAGGCTAAACAGACATTAGCACAATTTAGCGTTTGGCTCTTTACTTCGAAATGTAAATACGCAGTAGGCCACAAACAGCCTGAGAGGATTTATGTCATGTTCCATGTAAAAACTAATCCTCAAGAAGAGAAGCTAAACATTTTTTACATCTGTGGCTCTTCTTACCCTGCACAGACCATTGTGGGAGCACTATTAAATCTCCTTTGTTAGAGAACCACTAAACTTTACATTTTTATTTAAGGGTGCGAAACTGAAGGATCATCCTTTGCTTAGCAGGGCCCAAAGCCATCAGAATCTTGTTCATCCTCCACATTAGAGAAGCGAAGCACAGATAGAGCAGTACCTGTAGTAGTTTTCAAATGCGACTGTTACTTCAACATCATGTCGATTTGCTTATACTTTTCAGTTCTGGGTGAATCTAGCTTTCATTGTTTTAAATGATGTTTGTGTCTCTGTATCCTTTTCTGTGTATAATACCCTACAAATAGTTTTTGGCTTTATTACTTTCAGAATGAGGTAATTGTGCTGTGTTTAGCTTGAAGACCACTCTCAAAAATCTCCTTTCATTGCATAACAGCCCCTCACAAGAGGAGAATTCCCGTGCACCCAGAACACACGCAAACACACACACACACACACACACACACACACACACCCCCAAACAGTTTCCTCAGTGTTTAGCTACTTCAACCAAAAAAAAAAAAACAAACCAGAAGGGATGTACAAAACCATAGCACTGGGAACCCAGCTGTGACTGGGAACTCGGACTTCAGACTCTCAACTGGTCCTGTCAGTCTGTTTGCACACGCCCAAGGGTGGGCCCCGCCTTCGCCCACAGGGCTTAGATGGAAAACGTCGAGGCAGAGACTAGTAATCTTAGGGGGAAATGGCAGACAGCCCAACTGACACTTTGGCCAATCAGAAATCAGTAGAAAACTAGTTTGAGCCGCAAGACTACAAGGCTTACTCTTTAAAAATGTAATGCATGAAGGCTTGGAAAACATGCAATAACGTGAGCAGAAGCAATACATTTATATCTCTTTATACCTAGGAGCTGTCAGGGAGTATTTTTTTTTATAACTTGGTGATTAAAATATAAGTATTAAAACTAAAAAATATAGACTGTACAACTTGCTGTTATGAACATCCAGACAAACCTGTAAAGCAGTCGTAAGAAAACCAGTGTCCATAACCTTGGTACTGATCTGCCTGAGAGGCTGGCAAGCCTTTGCAAACTGTTGTGATAAAGTGATTCTTAGGATGTTTATCAATATGTGTACTTGACCGTTCTTGTGTTCACGCATACCTGTTTGAGGTCATCTTCCAATGCCGAAGTACAGGTCCAATACTCAAGAACCAAAGTACGGAGGACAGTAAAAATCCCCAGATGGCATTCTTGTCCCTCCCCAAATGTCAAGGATGCATCGGTTGCATCCTTGCCAAAGAGAACAATCCCATGATTCATTGCGTCCCAAGTTCATTCTTGGAAGGCAAGTTAGCAAGACTGGTCTTGTCAAGAACTCAAGTATGTTCTTTGCGTTCTTCATATTGATAAACAGCCACATTCTGTCCTCTGTGCCTCAGAACCCATGGCTCCTTGGTGCCTCATCCAGCATGCACGGCCTCTCTAGTGAGACACGGGACACCAGCCCAAACCCAAAAAGCTCTGTAAAATAAGTGCAGTCATTATGGGGAATCCGTGTGGGGCTGTTGGCTTGGGGAGACACTACCATGCTGGGGTTAGTTTGCCGCAGGGGTTATAGCTTAAGCTTTTCGGCGGTTTAAAAAGCAACCAGCGTGTCTCACCTGGAGACAGGTATCATTCCTAGAGACACAGGAGCGTTTTCGAGGTTGTTCCTCAAGTTAAGAGCAGCAAAAGGGTGACATTGCAGAGTAGCTACAGGCCAAAGCTGATTGGTTCAGCCCAGCCAGAACAGGTCTGGCTCAGGTGACAGTGTTTCGGCAACAAGCTGCAATTGGCTGGAGAGGAACAGTCGTGGTTCACGTGGTTCACGGGGCGGAGCCTACAGGACGTGGCAGCAGTTGTACTGCGCGAAGGGCACGAGCTTCTCCTTGGAGGCGGGCTGGATGTTTAAGGACAGTGCTTTCTCACACAGCGGGAACTGCAGCAGGCGCTCCCGCAGGTTCACGTTCTTCACCTTAGCCTGGGCGACCCGGATGACTGGTTCTGAGCCGATCTCAGCGACAGTGCCTGTGTGGCCTGGGCTCTGCCCAGACTGCTGACAGGGTGGCCCTTCCCCTCGCTCTGCATCCAGGCTCCACGTCAGCGGGGCTCCCCCGCGGGACTCCACCCCATCTGGCCCCAGATCGACGCAGTGATTGCGTGGCCGGCCTCGTGGAGATCCTCCAGGTGACGACGTCTTGGTGGCCTCCAGGAGCTTGGACTTGGGAAGGGTGTTGTTGTTGTGTTCCAGCACGGTTTCCCCATCCCCCCCCTCAGGTTTAGGGGTCTCACAACACCCACTCACTTGACCACTAAAGGGGATGTAGTCTGACTGAAGTTCACACATATTGGTGGAGACATCAGCAGACTTTACTTCGTGAGGGTGCCCTATCTGCACCCAGTCCCTTCTCTGACCCTGATCTGACCTTTCTGGTGATTCATCTCCTTTGCCCTTCCCAGGTCCTGCCTTCACTGGATCAATTGTCTGCTTCTTCTTCTGCCCTATTGGCTCCTTTGCACATCCTGGCACTGCTGTTGTGAGAACACCATGCCCTTGTAACTCTACAAAATGCGTGAGCTCATTAACGACATCGCCTGACTGCTCCCCATCCTGATCAGAGACGCCGCCTTGGTTGCAGAGACCATACAGCTCCTCCACCATTGTCCTGTCCTTTCCCTGTGGTTCTGGGGCTGTCAGCTCGCTCTCCTTCTCCAGGCTGTCCACGATGCCCAGTAGGGGTGGTTCTGCTGGGCCCCCTTCATTTGGTGCTGGTAGAATAATTGGCGGTCCAGCATGCTTTTCCTCCTCTTCCTCCTCCTCCTCTTCCTCACAGATCTGTTGCAGAGCACAGATGTTCTTGACAGGAGTTAGAGATGACCCAGCCCGCTGTTCCTCCCAGCTGAGTGGTGGCAGCAGCGGGGGCCTGGGGGACATGCGATCTCCCATCACAGGCACCATCCTGCAGGTGGCGCCAGATGGCTGCTCCATCACATGGGCCTCACACAGAGGATCATATTGGACCCCCCCCTCGCTCAGGTTGAGAGGTGTGGACAGAGACTTACTGCAGATGAGAGAAATCACAGGTGCATGTTAAAGAATACAGTCTGACTTGTAGCAAGGGGCAGACAAGACAATCAGGAATCTGATGGTAGATCAGATGCAGTTTAACCTGGGATGCAATATAAAGAGTATCCTCACAATTGCTGCTGAGGCTTTGACCCGCCACTGGCCACCTCCTGAGCCTGTGCAGGTGCTTCCTGCTTTTCCCTCAGAATCCGCTCTCCCAGCAGGTAGTAGGTGGCTGTGATGTGGTTGTACCGATCAGCCTCCAGTGCCCTGGGGGTAGAGGGGATAAGAGGCCATTAGGGTATACCAGCGTCATGGAACAGAATCTCAAACTCCAACTCCCAGAATGCAGCTGACATGGCATTTCAGCCAGAGCAGTGAGTGTACTTAATAAAATGGAGTGTGCAGTTAATACAGTGTACAGCTTTGCCCCACATGATGCAGAGGAGTTCCCAGTGAGCTATAAAAAGGGCTAAGATATATACTAAAGCCAGAAGACAATGGAGTGACAAAGGAGAGGGGGAGGAAGGGAGGAGAAGGGGAAGATATGATGAGTGAGATGAATGTGATTGAAGTAGAAGGAATGGGAGTAGAGAGTGAATGAGTGAGCAGGTGACCACGGTGTGACTCACTCTTGGATGGTGTCCCGTTCGGCGATGTTGCCGCTGGTCATGGCCTGTAAGATGGCCTCGTGCTCGTCCTGGGACAGGGTGCGGTGGGAGGAGATGGGTACAGCGGCACGGCCCGCCGGGGAGGGGTCCACGCCTCGCAGCCACGGGTGCCCCTCAATCTCCTCCAGCGAGGCTCGGCTGGCTGGCTCCCTCTGAAGCATGTGCGAGATCAGGCTGGGGGGTGCGGAGAGGGCTGGGGTCAGAGGTCATCAGATACAGAGAGAGGGTGTATGTTGCTATTGAGGGGTAGGGGCGCCCTCGGCAATGGGAGAACCTTCGGTTTACAGAGGCAAGTGCTCATTATGTTCTTATTTCGTTTTGGGCCAGATGGGAAAGTTGTGTTTGCTTAAGGTTAGCAGTACAAGCGACTAATGATCTGACTGTCAAGAGGAGAAAACAGCACATAAACCTGATAACCTCACTAGTGCAGCCATGTTTGACAGCACAGAAGTCCATCGTTTATCTCTATCAGTGGAATTACTTTTCGTGCGGTCCAGTATGACCCCATTATATTTTCCCTTTACTGCTGCCACCCCACCGGACACGGGTCCCCTCATCCTCCATTGTCTGCCTACCCATACCCACTAAATGGGGTGGTAATCCCTTAAAAAGAGGCATTTCTCTCCCCTAATATCCTCTGAAAGGATTATGTGCAGCACGTACACTGGGTGTAATCTGCATTTTTGTTGTGTGTGTGTGTGTGTGTGCATGGGATTTTAAAAAATCTTAACCTATTTTCTGTGTCCTATAACCTACATAAAAAATTGTAGCAGTTGGCGGATTAGGGAGCTCCTTCATACCCCCTCCCCCAGCGGGCAGCCCCCAGCCCCCCAGCCCCCCAGCTCTGTCTCCGGGGTCAGCCGGGGTCCTGACATCCTCAGGGATGGCCCTAGATGCTGTGCACACTGTCACCTTGAAGGAGCCATTGTCACGGTGACTGTCATGTGACACCGCAGCCGTTTTCGGCGCCGTCCTTGGAGTACAGTCACAAGCACGGCTTCCCGTTTCAGCAGAAAGGAAGCTCAGCTTCGAACAGAACCCACATTAAATGCCTGGAAATGGTCCCTAGCTGAAACAAAAGGCCTCTTTCATTGGGACGGGCCTGTGAGATGTTAGGATGGGAAAAAAAAAGCAAACACCTAAGGGGGGGTCGCTGAACTAAAATGTCAGGCGCAGATGGGTCCTGAAAATGAAATTGAAAAGCTACAAAAAGTGTAAACTTTCCCTAAACAGCCGATTGCCCATCTCGAATATTTTCAAGGTAGGGATAATTATTTCCCTGACAAAACTTATTAATTATTTCTTATTATAATCATTTGTACCTTTAGCAGTTTTTCTTTTTTTTACCAGAAATGCCACGGGGGTCCAAGATTCAATGTATTTATGGGTTGGCAGGTCACACAAAGGGGGAAACAGATCTCCATGATCAGTGTTTCCCAACCCGGTCCTCAGGAACGTCCAGACGGTCCATGTTTTTGCTCCCTCCCAGCTCCCTGCCAGACAATGCACATTTTTGCTTGGGAGTAAAAATGTGGACTGTCTGAGGGTCCCCAAGGACCAGTTTGAGAAACACCGCTTTAGATAGCTATGGTTCGTAGAAACAAAATCACTCCTCCCATGCCATAGCTGTTTCAGCACCAGTGATGGATGCTCATAGCCTGGAGAACATCAGCACAACCAGCCGATCATGTGTTGCATCAAGGAACCCTTTGATTTGTCTGGGCATCCAATAGAAGTGTGGCATACTCCACTGGTGCACATATTCAAATCCCAATTACCTTAATGTTCTCATTCCATCTAGAAAGTTCATCAACTTTAATTAACTCACTCCTTGCAGCCGTTGGAGACGTGCGGGGGCACAGTGTAGCGACAGTCCATGATCATGGTGAGCGTCTCGCTGTCATTGGCCTCCTGGAAAGGGGGGTGTCCACAAACCAGCATATACAGGATCACCCCGAGGGACCAGACGTCTGAAACACACATTTTATGGCATCACTGTACAGAGTATACACAGCATTATGAAGACACAGGTTTGCATCAAAACACATCAACAAACCCACCCGGCCATCCCTGAACATTCTTCTTATATTGCTGTAAGGACAAGGCAGGGCAGTGTGTGGGTTAGGAGGCTATGCTTGTAATCAGAAGGCTGCCAATTCAAATCCCATTGTTAGCAGAGTGACTTCACCATTGAACACTTGAGCCAGGCCCTTAAACCCCAATAGGTCCAGGAACTGTCTGTCTCTGCTTTCTCAATTGTAAGTTGCTTTGGAAAAAGGCATCTGTTAAACGTAATGCTGTTCTACAACATAGCATGAAGGTTTGTTTTTCTAGAAACCACTATCAAGAAGGCTTTCTGACATGGCAATCTGTGATTGGCTGTGCCCTGTGCCCTTGGACAGTCTTGGTGCTTTTTTTGACAGAGATTTCTCCAGTGGAACCTAGAGCTGTTCCACATGTCCCCCTGTAGCCTTTAATACCCAAAACTTCCTAAGCTAGCTGTACTTCCGGCGGTAAAAACAATGTTTCCGTAAGTAAGCTCAGGAAATGCTAGGCAAGCTATTTTTAATGTTATCTGACGGCCCTATTCTATTGTCCAGCCTTGGCAAGCTGTGTGTTTGTGTTCTCATTATCGTCGTTTGTGTGACAAAGCTCCCCACTTGTCCCCACTCTACAGCAGGATCCCTCAGGACCAGACAGAGCCTTCCTACGCCTGCAATGAGGCTTCACTCCTGGCAGATTAACCCTGAGCACCCCTACACAAGAACACTTAGAACACTTCCCCCGAAGAACAGCGGCACTCAGTAAATATTGCAAAAGCAAAATAAGACAGTACTTGGCACAAAAGTTGAATGATTTATCCGTTCTAGTGGAAATATTTCCAGTGGGATGCAGAGAGGCTGCAGTGCACAGCCCTTATTATGCAGCATACAAGTTGTTAATTGCTAAGCCCAGGCTACCTGCTAATTTTGGGGTTAGCTGGGTGCTTTCATATATTAAGACCGTTAATGGCATGTGTCACTTTATCTAGGCCGCCACAGCTTTACTACCGGCTTCCTGTCGGTTACTCTGGGTTCCTGGCCTGAACGGACAAAGGAATCAACCAAGTTCGCTTTGTCCTCTAACTGGGGTTAACGAGCACCGGTAGCTGTGCAGGGTGAAGCGAGGGCATCAGGGGACTGGGGAGTGGGAAGCACACAGGGTCAGTATATGGGGAGCTGGATTAGGGGCCCCCACATCGCACATGACCCTGAGTGGCCTCACTCTGATCCCAGACATTCCTGGGCTGCCGACTTTCCTGCTCCTCCCTTTGTTTCCGTGGATTCGGGTGAAGGAGTTTGAGAACATCCTGTATCCTGGAGCAGAGAGCAGGGCGGAGGGAAGCCTCTATACTGCGCCCCGTAGCTTCCTGTCTTGCTGGTGTGGGGGTGCTGTGGATCACATCTGCGAAACCAGGGGTGCGTGGGGGGGGGGGTTAATCTCTCACAGGTACCTCACTGCACCCCACCACACTAAATTCTGTCACAATTAAGGACAGTAGAGTTGTTACTTGTGCCTTTTCTCACATCCGTGTGATTAATGAGCTTGGGCACGCGCTACAAACGGCATCCATCTTTGACAATGGGGTGGGGGTGGGGGAAGAGCATCCTGGTGTAATCCAGCGGGCGAGGTCTGAGTAGGCTGAGGTGCATTCTGGGAAAAGCACAACCAAATTATGCCCTGTGATACAAGATGTTCCATCTTCCAATACAGTGAGGAACTGTCTTGGGAGAAAAAGAGAAAAAAAAAAGAATAGGAGGAGAAAAGAAAGACTGCTTCTGCCTTGCTAGTCCTGTACAGTGTCCACACACACACACACACACACACACACACACACACACACACACACACACAGTTTCCTCACTAGCTGGTCACTGAGTCGCACGTAGATTTGGGTATGGATGGTAGGGAAACGTCCCTACCAATGCTGTGGTGCTGTATGTGTTGAGGGGATTCAGGCTGACTTGGTCCCTCCCACACTTATACCCCTGGTGTTATACCCCTGGTGTTATTCCCCTGGTGTTATTCCCCTGGTGTTATTCCCCTGGTGTTATTCCCCTGGTGTTATACCCCTGGTGTCGCCCCCTCACTGACACCACCTCCTTCAGGCGGGACACGCAGCAGCTGGTTCGGCCCCCGTCAGCTGTGCCGACGGCGCACTGTGCTCAGGGTGACAGCGCCTGTGAGATGGCAGGCGCTCAGACGGAATCGCCTCAGGAAACATGCAGCCGTGTAAACAGATAAACAGCCAAGCTGTACGCACTGCGTTTGGCTCAGCAACCCAACACCACCACAATCTTGTCTGGAACCAGTATAGCACCAGCATCATTCTTATTACCCTCTGGATGCTATTGTTTTGAACCAAACATATCCTGCTCCAGCTGAGCAATGAGAAACATGCTGACACTGCATACCACTGACCAATAACGGCTATGGTCACTGTTACATCCAATGTTAACCAATGACAGTCATGCTCCCGTTACCCAATGACAGCTGTGCTCAGAATGACCAAAGGCAGCCAAGTCAACTAGGAGTGTAATGGTACATGTCTTTTGGTACATGTCTTTTGGTTCGGTACACATTTGAATGCAGCACATGCAGAACCTTTGTGTGTTTCCCCTGAGAAACATTCGGAAAGGGGCGGAGGAAGCCGCACAATTACACATGTGCACATACGTCCTAATGTGAAGCTGGAAGCTGCTAATGTGAATACACTACAGATCAGGTACAGTTCATTTTCTAAACGTGCACCTTAATGAATATTATTTGTTTTACTTGAGAGAATATTTATTTTGATTTAGTCACACTCCAGAGTTATTGCATGTTCGGCTGGATTAGTTTTGTATTAGTAGGTTGCAGCAATACTGACAGAGACTTTTTAAGAAAGACAATCATGCTTTGTTCAGTAAACCACTGTTTAATAAGGAAAAAAAGCAGCAATTTATGTTTTGTTCCTTTTACCCCCTTGTACCAAAAATGTACCGAAGCGTGACTTCAAAACCGAGGTACATACCCAAGCGTGATTTACACCCTCAATGTCAACGTTGACCAATATCAGTCATGCTCACAATGACTGTGGTTGCATTTCCCAAACTCCGCTACGTTGTTCGTATGTTCCATGTTAAAAGATGGAACTTACGACTGACGTTGTGTTAAGAAGGTTTCGGGAGACTCAACCACGGCCGTTCTGAGCATGACTGATATTGGTTAACGTTGACATTTATGACAAGCCATTTTATGCCACACTGTCCAGAAAACAAGCCACCTAACCCAAGTGTAACTAAAGGACAGCATCTGCACATGAGCCCTGCTGATGGGGACCTCACAGATTACTGGCGGGGATGAGGTGGGGGGGCTCTAACTCTGCCCCCAATGCCATCGCCGTCTCTGTGAAATATCATAGCAGATGGTGTTTTTCTCCAGAGAAGATGAAATCCCGACCCTCAGTCAGACAAAACACTCCGTTCTGGAGCGTACAACGTAGACGTAGGTCTCTTTGAATCTCCCTCCTCCCCTCCTGCTGCTTTGGCCACATCAGGGCGGGAGCTGAAGGGCCCCAAGTCATTCATTCATCCTCAGAGCTGTTACATAAGAGCCACCGAGGTCTCCGCTGGCTATTAAGCCTTCACCAAATCCACCAATCAGTTCGCTTTTCATAGGCTAACAGCTGGATTACTCACACCAAACAGCTCTTTGGATATCTGCAATGACGCATACATTGCCCAAAATAAGATAATGACAAAAGCAGTAATAGATGTGAAGGGTGTTAAACTCTGCGCCCTAGTATAGTTCAGCAGGGCACCACCCTCCTGACACCTGAATACAGTGGGGAATCACCCCAGGAACACTTATCACTGCAGTGAACAGGCAAAAGTGTGGGTCTCCGCACAAAACTGCCTCTGTCTTGAGTCTGAGTCCCAAGGCAGTTTGCAGCCGGAGCTATTCTCCTCTTCGGGGAATGCCTCATTCTGTGAAACTTGGCACTATTAATAACTGAGAGACATTCTTGCCGTTCAATAAATCTTTAAGAGAAACTTACCTGCTGCTCTAAGCACCAGAAAAATACATATTACTTCCCTGCAGACTACAAATTTGTAAACTGAGACATCACTGCAGACCATAGATCTCTATACACAGACATCACTGTTGCTCTACAGACCACAGATCTCTGCACAGAGACATCATCGCTGCTCTGTGGACCATAGATCTCTATACAGATACATCACTGTTGTTCTACAGACCAAAATACTCGAAGATGGCAGTCTTTCTATTTTTGTCCTTCTGGTCTTATCTGGTCTTGTTTAGTCACAACATATCTGTGTCTATCTGCAAGCTGCATGACCCATCGCTGTCTGAGGGTGGGTGCAGTTCCCCTGCAGTTACTCCCAGCTGAACACGCAATTACTTTGGAGTGTGACATGACCCTGCCTGCAGCTCGCATTTTCCTGAGAGCTGCTCGCAAATACACAGCTAGTGGTGTGAAGTGTCCTGATCACCCCAGGCTTTGAGATACGGGGGGGGGGGGGCGTGGGGGCTGGTATATCACACGGCAATACAATACCTGGATTACTCAACACGTAAAAGTGGGTGTTGAATCACATGAAACCACTGATGAAATAAATAAAGTATACAGAGTTCCTCTGCCCTCTGTAGCGGCTCAAATGAATCGAGGTCAGCAGCGAGCGTTTCACTGGGGCATTTGGAGATGGCCCAGTCTGCCAAATCCTGGCAAGGCTGTGCCCAGCACGTGTCACCGAGGCGCTCTGCAAGGCCGCTGTGACATGGGCAGCTCCCCACGGACCCCGGGTCACGCCATGTGCAGCACAGACACTTTGGAGCTACTCTAAGATCTTTTGGATTCCTTATGAGGTGTACAGAGGTCCTTGCGTGTTAAACACCTGTGTCAGGACAGGGACTTAGATGTTCAGAGTACAAGAGAAGCAGTTTACTTTGCTGCAGAATTTCGTAGAGTTACCAATCTAGGATGAGCTAGTGGGTGCTTATTCTAGTACTGTTATCACTTTTCTATGCCGTGATACAGACCCAGATCTCCACAAAACCTGCACTCTATAGATAAAGTCCTCCTGTAGTGTATAGTTTGTACAATGTTCTGTAGTCCAGCACACAGTTGAGCTACAGTATACCGTCCAGAACCACATGCAGAGTGCTGGTCGCCCCGGAACTCGGAGCAGGTGTTCGGTTTAGCAGGATTGCTGGCGCGGGTTCTAGCAGCCCTGTGAGCCACCAGGCTCGGAATCTCCCTGTCGCCAGGCCGAGCCTCAAAACCACACAGAGACCCTGACTCGCAAAGCTGACCCATACGTCCCGGGCTTCAGGCGGTCCCAGACCCAGCACTGAGCACAATTAGCTTGTTCACGAGCTCCGTAGACAAAGAATGGTTCTGCTAAGCAGGACTTACATACTCATCTCCCTCCCATCCGCAGCCTTAATCTAGAGAATCACCCAATAGCCGACCCCTGACAGTGAGGCTAATAAGCTCACTGTCTCAAAGTGACTTGATAGGACAGGGGGTGTTACCCTGGAGTAAAGCGTTACCCTAGAGTGAAGCGCAGGCACCTGGGGGAAAACTCTTTACAGCATTAGTAAGCGTATTCCCTCTATGATAATGAGGCTGCACTCTCACTCAGAGTGACAGGGAGCTCACTCTATCACTCTCACAGTGCTACTAAGGCTATAATCTGACTCTTTACATTAACAAGGCTGCACTCTTACTCTGAGTGACAGACAGCTCACACTATCACTCTCAGCTACTGAGTCCGTAATCTCACTCTCTATGATAATGAAGCTGCACCCTCACTATGTGGGCAGTGGTGGCTTAATGGTTAGGGAAGAGCACTTGTAATTGAGAGATTGCAGGTTCGAATCCCCAACCAGCAAGGCACCACTGAGATACCCTAACCAAGGTACCGCCCCCAAGCACTGCTCCCCGGGCGCTGAATTAGCTGCCCCCTGCTATGTCACGGTGTCACATATGGGTTAAATGCAGAGGACACATTTCGTTGTTGTGTGTCAGCAATGACCACTGATCTCTAATTTTAATGAGTAAGAGGCAGCTAACTATCAGCTATGTTCAACAAATTTTGAGCTCCACTTTACAGTCTGGTTCTGAAGCCTCTGTCTGTAATAGCCGCCTCTCTAAAGCAGCCCAAATCAGTCTTGGGGGCATCTTTGGATCAGAATATGGCAAATCTCCAGGAATATATCTGATAGTCAGTGCATTTGATCTAACAAAAACAAAATGAAAGAATAACATCAAATATGCGATGGAGAGAGAGAACATGGCAGTCGAGAATCACAAGCCAGTGCATCCACACCAAAACAAGCTTAGGTTTGAGGCCTGTCAGGCTGACATAAGCAGGCAGCAAGCAAATCACTTCCTCATCACGCACTGCAGTCTGTTGCCATTACTGAGTGATGGGGTGGGGGCAGGAGGAGGACAGATACACCGGCATAAAGACAGACACACAGACACGCATATAAATACAGGCATACAGATGCACATGGGGGCAGCGGTTAATCATGGGGCGGTGCTGCGTACCCACGGCCGGGGCGTCGTACTCCTCCCCCAGCAGGATCTCGGGAGCAGAGTAAGCCAGGGAGCCACAGCTGGTCATCAGCATGGTGCCAGGCTGGAAGAGGTTGCTGAAGCCGAAGTCCGTGAGCTTGACTGCACCCTGCTCCCGGAAGAAGACCACGTTCTCGGGCTTGAGGTCGCGGTGCACCACGTGCAGCTGGTGACAGTAGGCGATGGCGCGCACGATCTGGGCGAAGTGCCGCTTGGCCAGGCCTTCGGTGACGCCGCGCTCGTGCCGCAGTATGTAGTCGTACATGTCGCCGCCGTCCCCCAGCTCCAGGATCAGGTAGAGCTTGGTCTGTGTGTCGATGACCTCATAGAGGCGCACCACATTGGGGTGCTGCACCAGCTTCATGCAGCGTACCTCCTGAAGCAGGTGCTCCATAGCCACTGCATCCAGCTTAGTCTTGTCGATCACCTTGACAGCCACCAGTTGCCCAGTGAAGATGTGCCGTGCCAGCCGGACCACGGCGAAGTGACCTTTGCCCAGTGTGCGTTCCAGGTCATAAAGACCAGCCAGCTTGCCCTCACAGGCGTTCTTAGAGGCAGCCATGTTGGGGGGTGGGGTCTGGGGGGTGCTGATTCAGTGGGTGGGACTCTACAGAGCCATTTCCTGACAACCAAAGAGAAAGAAACGTGATTGGTGGAGTGTAAGCATGTACAGTACATTGACCCTGGTGCAGGGAGGGGCCAGGAGACGGAGCCTGCTTGAGGTGAGCAAAGTTTGTGTCAGAGCCAAACAAGATGGGAATGCACACTGGAGAATGCGGGTGTTTCCACTGTACAGGTGTTTTATATACACACGCACGCACGCAGGCACGCACACATGCACAGGTTTATAATTATATCTTTGAGGGGACTCTCCATAAATTTCTATGGCAAAAACTCTACTCACAACATGACGACCTTAACCCCTACCCAGACCTAACCGTAACCATAAGGAACCAAACAAAATATGAGACTTTCGGCATTTTTACTTTTTTGACTGCATTGACAGATCTTTCTGGGGACCTGAAAAAACAGGTTTTTATTACATTGTGGAGGACATTCTGTCTCCACAAAGTAATACAAGTCTAATCCACACATACACACTATAACATATAAATATGTGTGTGTGCATAGAAGTTATAACATCCCAAGTGCATGAATCAATACAGGAGTGCGCAAACACTCACTACAAGCAGGAGGAAGCACACACAACACAGGGAGGACATGGAAACTGCACACACACACACACACACACACACACACACATGATTCGAACCTCCAACCCTGGAGGTGTTAGTACTGAGCCACCACGCTGTGTGCAAAATGTCATAATTTAAAAAATGTGTTTAGTGGAGTGAATGTTCCATCCTGCCATTGGCGTGAAAATACACAACATCCTGTCTATGTTTCACCCATTATACTATGTGTTTCACTATATGTTATGTGTTTCACTATATGTTATGTGTTACCCTACCTGTCGCATATTATTTGTTGTCATACCTATTGAAGTGTTTTGTCCTTTTTATGTTGTCCTGTAGAGGATATACCTTCTCCTTCGTGCTGCAAAACTCTTGACAAACTGAGAACAGCCTCTGTTTATATAAACGTGACCATAAGAGTAAACGCTGAGGCTTTTGGTTGTAGATCAATAGTCAGCGTCAAACGCAGCCACAGAGAATGCCAAAATTAAAAACTTCGAGGGCCAAACCAGGTCAATATTTATTGATATTAATGTTTAATCAGATGTATTATGACAAATTATTCATACAGAAATATGAACTCCCAAGACATCTTAGAATTCAGAACAAACCAAGCTTATGGATTAAACAAACAAATGAGAGATCACATTAAAAAAAAAAACAGCCGTGGCATTAATTTTTTAGTTCGCCTAAATTATTATTGAGATGCGTATTGTGACGGCCATAAGTAAGTAATCTTTATAAATTCAGCATGTGTTTTATTAAATTAGGTTAGCGGAGCACACTACGGGTACTGTATTGGTAAATCATGGGAGCGATTTATAAGCACTGAAGTGGCGGTGAAGAATGGAACAGCTCAGCAGCTACAAAGCATAAACAAGGTAAAAATACATCTGTTTATATATAATAAGTATTAATGTAAGGGGGGAGACTCTGGTTACACATCATGAGTGTCAAGGTAAGGGGTGGGGCAACTGATTATCGATCCTGAGTGTCGGTGTAAGACCTGGGTGGGGCCTCTGGTTACAGGACATGACTGTCAGAGTAAGGGGTGGGGCCTCTGGTTACAGGACAAGACTGTCAGAGTAAGGGGTGGGGCCTCTGGTTACAGGACATGACTGTCAGAGTAAGGGGTGGGGCCTCTGGATACAGGACATGACTGTCAGAGTATGTGTAGCCTGTGGGAGAATCTTGACCAGCCTCACACCCGAAAGTGCTCACTCTGTGGTGCAGTGCCATCACATTCTCTAAGCAGATACACCCAGGCACTTAGACTGTTATAATTTAGCATGCTAATACAATTTTAATAATATAACTGGCTGCTTGCTTAGCACATGTCCTTACTGATGCTCCATCACTTATAACTTTTTGCATTTTCATGCATTTATACGTCAGGAGGTATACCAGATCGATCTGTATTACAACAACAAAAAAAGATGTAAAATAAAGTGGAAGTGCTGTCTGAGATGGATGGGAGGGGGTTAGTCTAACCGTGGGAGTCCGCAGGGATGGAGAGGATCAATATGGGTAACAGGATACCATAATGGGCTTTGTGCCATGGGGGGGTTGAGAGAAAACAGTGCATTGGGGGGAGGTGCTGGGCACACTCTGGATCACATTACAACTGTTTTTCTCTCATTAGGACACAGCGATTCGATTGGCTGATACAGAACAAAACCAGGCCTTGATTACAGTGCTGACGCACAACTGCAGTTCCGTGTCTTAGCCCTGCTGGGCTATACCCAGTGCATGCATTTGGGCCGGCCTGTACCCTCGACGGGAGGGCGGTGCTGCTTTTCAGCTGGAAAACCTGCAAATGACTGGGAGGCCTGAGAACCATTAGAGGGCAGTGTGGTCTGAGAGGCTGCAGGCTATCGCTAGGTGATGGATACAGACATGTCAGGCTGCTTTCTCACTGGTTTCCTCGTTTATTTTTATGTTCCTGGTCATCACTGACTGACATACAGGGCTGCCAATCCCAGTCTGCTCCCCTCTATGTGCGTCAGACATGAATAATCCCGGCAGAGTTACATTACCTACTATCGTCTCTCCTTTCACTGTACTCAGTGGTTATAAGCTTATAAACACTGTGACTTTAATTGCCAGTGATTGCTTGAGTCACGGGAGTGGTCACACCAGTGTTAATCAAACTGTCCTACTGGACATTAAAATGGCTGAAAGAGGCTATGGGTGTGGGGTGGAGGGATGCCCAGTGCAGAGAGTTTGGGGTTTGTGGGGAGTATTTTACTTACTGGGGAATAAAAATTAAAGCAGGAGAAGTTGGTAAAAGATCCGTCTTGTGGGAACATCCTTGCAAATTCTGGTTTTTCAGGTTGCTCTGATTAGACAGCTAATGCAAATGCACTCACACACATCATTACAAACAAACATGCTTCACTGCTAACGCACACATGATGCAGACACACGCACAGAGCTTCACACATAGCTGCACAACAGTTGCCCAGCCACCTGCTGCATCTGTAAGCAAACGCAGGAGTGCAGAGTGCAGTCTGGAGTGTGTGAGATAAAGAGCTTGTCACTGGATGCCTGGACAGCCTGCAAGCGCCATCCTGGCACTGCATGCCCAAAGTGAGATGCTTACAACTGCAGCAGTGAAAATAAATGACCACTGTGCCTGTGGAAATCACCGTAGGCCTGAGATGTGCCTAATTTCCTCCAGTGAACCACAGAGTGCTCTACAGGGAGAGGTGTGGGGTAAACCTTGCTCTGTAGGAAGGATATGCCCGCCCACCCAGCTCAGAGGCCACCACACAGAGCTCCAAGATCATGCTGTCTGTGTATGCAGGTGTCCCACAGAGAGCAGGTCACTGCAGGAAGTGAGTACATAAAGGTGACCCCCGAAAGCCACAGTGTAGAAAACAGTGATCTCTCACACACACACACACACACACACACACACACAAACTTCAGCTGATATAAGGAGACTTGATTTTACAAGTCAGAAAGATCCCAAACAACAGGAATCTCTCCTCAGGGAATAGAAAGGAAGCCACTGAAACTGCTTAAAGACTGGAGTGTGAGATCAATGTACGGTTCAAGTAGATGTAAAGGTTTGAAAGACTGATGTCATTTCTGGGTGCAGATATCAGCAACAGTTTATGTGTAAATAGCAGTCGTGTCCCATCTACAGCAGAGCACTGGGAAGCAATGTTTGTGTTTGATCCTGAAAGCGCCACAATATGACTCTGAAACTACTGACATTACAGAAAGGCTTCTTTGGGGGCATAAGCTCCACAGCCAAAAGAAACAGAGATTAAAGAGTGAGATCCCACTTTAAATATGACCTCATCTCGATCGTTTCCCACCATGCAGCACGCCTGCCCCCCACCCCCCCGTCCACAGCGGTGAGGTCATCTTAGAGTCGGGGAGCAGTTGCGCTGAGCATGTTGGATTTGAAATATTCATCAACATGAAGAACTTTCAGCTTGAGAGAACCATCTGGTTGGATAAGGTATAACTACCATCTGGTCTGTTATTATCAGACTTAGTGCAGATGACCCGTCACCTGAGGCCGTGACCCACTTAGCTAACAGGGGGCTCCCTGAGTTCACCCTGTAATTATAGCTGATGGACGCCTCTCATAACTAAGGACACCTCAAGAACGCTTTCCTAATATTCCCAGAATGTTTTTTAGATAGACTATTTCTGAGCAAGAACGTCTTTTTGTTCCAAAGTTGTTTTTTCAGGGAACGTCCTCATTTTTTTTCCCTTCTCGTTTTATTCATTGGTGTTCACTTCATAAGTCCGTCCCAATCCTATTTTTGTAGCTTTCACTCCCCCCTCCCCCGTCAGCCTGGGTCTGCTGGGGACAAATGGTCCAGTGTGGCGGAGCGACTGTATCCTCTGCACATACATAATGGCTTCCTTGCAAATGAACAGCCCCTCATCCTCACATCCCCCCCCCCCTCCCCTTGTGACAGACCGCTTGTGTGTGGAAATACAGTGGCACGGACGCTCTGTCCTGCCCCAAGTGTCATGTGACTGGGGGGTCATGAACCTCGGGGACTTTTCGAAGATCTGTGCTGGAAACAGAAGTTAACACTTATAGATCGAGTCCAAACCAGGAGAGCCTGGTATCTGCTGCTCTGTCATACTGAAGCCAAACATGTTTCCTTCAGCTCATGAACTCTTCTAAGAACCGTTTCCTGTATCCATGCAAGTGTTAAAGTGCATCCTTATTCCATATTGCTAACCCAGAATTATGCTTTTTATTGCTCTGCATGACAGCAACATCACACATCTCTACATCACACTTGTATGTGGTCTTCCTTAATTTCCCCACATTAACATAGCTCACAAAATTCCACATAGGACTCTGGCACGGTCTTACTCCCTCTGCTCCAAATGACAGTGAGGTATCCATGTTCGCACTATAGGTTCTCAATCAGTTTTCAGTCCTTAATAGTTTAATTAGTAAAATTGATACTGCAGTTTGTGCTACATTCTGATTTAACTGACTGCTGTTTTAGCGTGATACCTGGTTTACAGACTGATTTAATGGAAGCAAGGGAGTATGACGCCATAAGCAAGTCTACTTCTTATGCCAATAAACCTTCATCGTTATCATCATTAGGCATTTAACAATTTAATCATTAGGAATTTAATAATTTACCATAAATTATATTAAGGTATATTATTAGGATGTCTGTTACAGACTGACAGACCACTACAACCACCGTCGTCATTTAAGCATCAACAATGGTCTTCATCACCCAATAATTTTTACGTCATCACACATCGGCAGTAATTAAAATAATATTCATCCTGATTTTGTCCTAGTCGGGGCTTCTCGTCCGAAAACGACAGCAGTGATTGAGACCCACCATAAAACGCCTGATTTCCCTCCACTGGTACTTTCACATTCACACTCACAACTTCTGCGGTCCCGAAGCCCGACCGACACGCATTTCACAGCAAAACAAAAGTCGGGCAAAAACTCGGGGCAAATCGCAAGGTGTCGGCGTCGTCACATTAAGGCAAATCGGCACATCAACCACATTTAACAATCATGACACTCAGCGCACAATAATCCCGGTGGTCATCACTAGTATAAAAACTTACCAAGGGAATAACACGGGTTCGTATATAGATGATAAAGGCGCCGTCCCGGCACTGAGGGTGCGTGCGTTCAGTGCCGCCGTCCTTTTCCGAAGAACTTGGGCTACTCCTCGTCTCGTCCGCACACCTTTCACCCGCGTCGGTGCGAATCACGACACGGCTCCGTTTTAACGCGGCGCGTCCCGGATCTCTTCACGCTCCCGCAGCGAATCGCGCTCCCGGCCCTCCGCGCTCCCGCGTCTCGGACCGGGCTCTCGGTGGCTAGCCTCTCGCTGACGTCAGCTCTGCGGGCTGCCTCGGAGCGCTAGAGGCAGGGCATGTCAGGAAGCTGCGCTTCCCGAGGCTGCCGAGGCTATTATGCAACCCGGATCGGGCGGGCGGGGTTCGAAAGACTCGGAGAAAAGAATTCCTGGTATGTTTGCGTGGCGGGGTATCCTTCAGTCTAACTGCAACTCAGATGCAATAATTAGCTCAGCAAGCCAGCTGCGCAGTATTGCGGTTTTTAATATAACGCAAAACACCAAAAGTCGGAAGGTAAATTGCATTTGTCGTAAATGTATTTTATTATATAATTAAGCTGAGGGAATATGGGTGACAGGGATTTTATTATAACTCTGCATGGATAACAAAGAATACTCCACCTGACTAAACATCCAATAACAGTGCAAAGTATTCATCATGAACAATGACGACCATTCAGGACAAATAACAGAGCGCTCGATGTGACCGAGAAACGGAAGCAGTGGCGGAGGAACCCGCACTTCGGAGTCCAGGTCCATAGGCTCGCAGCGTCACCTGTTAGGAACACGGGCCCCTCATCACGGATTCCGCGTCCGCGCTGTCTGACACGGAGCTGCTGTTGCACCGTCCCGTCGTCGCTCCAGCCCCGGCTGACATCAGAATACATTACGGGCGACTCGGCGCGCCACACGATGACAGCGACACGCAAACTCAAGCGCGCACACACACTGACGCGCCATAAATCCTATATACTAATTAGGTCGCGTGGCATCGTTTGCCGCGAGGGCTCACCCGCTCGGAGATGATGCCTGGAGCTCAACGATGTCGCAGAGAACTGCAACAGTTGCAGTCGATTTAGGTGTCTGCGGTGTCTGATCTGCTGGTCCCGATGAAAGCTTAGCCAGCGATGTAACACAGCCTGAGTGATGCATCATGTTATTGTGCGCGCTATTCTTAGATGCAGAGTTACACACATGGTTTGCTCATTGAATTTACATCCTAAAGGGGGGGGGGGAGAGATGTGTGGAAAAACCAGCACTTGACAGGTAAACAATTAAGGGGATGACCACCCAGTGGATGTCGCATTTTCACACGGTCTGGAGCCTGACGATCGTTTGGCTGAGGCAGCTCTAGATTAGTGAAAGGGAAGGTCGCAGGAGGAGATGTGCGTGTCTGGGGAGAGTGATGAGTTTGCTGAGTATGCTCATCATGCCACCCTGCCAAGGTCCTGTGGCTATGTCATGTTGTACCAGCACACACACACACACACCCATAAAAACAGACATACTCTGGTTTTCTCAGTACACACACGCTGTATATCTACTGTTCAATTCTCTTAGGACAGTTCATTGAAAGTACAGCGTGTCCTCAGTCTGTAAGGCAGAAACCAGTGCAAAGGGCTGCGATGTGTGCAACTGGGACATGAGTAAACAAGTTGGGGAGAAGGAGCAGAAAGGGACGTGCTCCTCTGCAGCAGGCCCTGTCTGGATGGGGGGGGTGGGGGTTGGATCCCCAGGCCTCAGTGAGATGGGGTGAGTTGAAACTGATTTCAAAGACTTGGGCCAGTCTGACAGCTTTCTGTACATACAATTGTGCAATACTGTACATATCTTTTTATTTCAGAGGTTTTATCTTAGTTTATTCTATTTTATACCAAGTTTAGATATTTTATTCTAGTATTTTATTATTATTTTATCTATTGACTGTTTAGTAGCCACGCCGCGCGCACTGAGACCTGAGAAACTGTTTCGTTCTTATCATGTCAAGTGGTTTGAATGACAATAAAGCTGATTCTGATTCTGTACAGCTGAGTTTGCCATGTTCACAGGCGGTAGGAAGGGCTGCAGTGACCCCACACGGGTGTAACTCCTTTCCTTATTAAATTAAAATGGCTGTGTTGTTTTTCACAATATCGACGATGCTACTTTGGCTTCTGGATGTAACAGTTCTTGCCGCATTTGCGAATGGAGAGGGGAGCCTGAGTTTGTGTGCAGCACCCAAACTGAACAAGCTCATCCTACTGCCCACCAAACTTCCTTGATTCAATATAACAGATAAACATTCCACTCCAGTTTGTTTCTGATTCTTGTACAAACACCCTACATGCAACACACTGCTGATTATTCAACCATTTTTAGATGGTCTCATTGGTGGATCCTGAAAGTGGTTTTAGCGCCTGTAACGGTGTTTTGATGCCTCATGCATCAAAAGTTTAGCGGGAAAATGTCAAGGAGGCTGGTTTTGTGTTTCCAGTGAGGAGTTCAGGAGAAAACACACATCATCTCTTCTAGAACAAGACAAAAAAGAAAAAGTGGAATGAATGAGTGTGTGGGGCAAGCAGAAAAAACAGGGAAGGGAAGGAAGAAAGAAGGAAAAGGATCATATATGTAGGTCATAAGTAAAAGATGTAACAAAAAGATTAAAGGACAGCAGTCAAGAGATCCTTGTTAGACTAATTTTGCACCTCCTTAGAGACCATTCAAACCTATAAACAAGATACACACACACACACACACACACACACACACACACACACGCACTACAGGCCAGATGTTTGGGCCCATCCTCTGGCTTTTTAAAAAATAAACGATACACTGTTTTTTCAAACTTTTATTATAAGAAAATATTATAAATACTTAAATGTAACTGGGTGGCTTTGAAGTGTAGTGTAACAATTTACTGTGCATCATAAGTGCATTTTAATGAATTAATTTTTTTAACGAATTAATTTTAATGAATGCGAGTGTCGAAGTACGAGTTTCATCAAAATAACCATCCCTTCCCTTTATCACAGCAGCATCCTTTACAGCAGTTTTTGGAAATAACTTGTATCCAAACCCTCCCTGCACCTTTTCAAGCAGACAAACAGTTCTGTTTCATTTGCTAGATGCTCATTTTAAACATGTTAGTCCAAGTATATTATTTTCTTGTAATAAAAGTTTGACAAAGCAGTGTATTTTATTTTTTTTTAATCAAAGGGTGGGACCAAACTTCTGGTCTGTACACACACACACACACACACACACACACACATGTTCCTGTTTTGAGCATTTTAAGGTCCCCTCACATCAAGATTATACGTCTCTAACCTCACATGAACTGGTTCATTCTTCTTGTATGTTTCAGGAAGGAGAACCTGCTCATGTCCTTGAACAGGAAGTCTAGGGTATGTTTCTTACTGGCTGGTCAAAATCCTCACTTCTTTTACCAAGTCACTCATAGTTTCTGTTAAAAGCAGAAATGAGCCACCTGATAGACGTTCTCAATATGTATACAACTTTGATATAACACTTTGCAGTTCATGTGTGTGGGACCAGTGTCCTTTAAATATTCTGTTTTCCTCCTGCAGTCTAAAGATGTGGCACTAGGCTAATGGGTTCCTCGAAATTGGCCATAGTGTCTGTATTAATTAAAATGCATTTCCCATAACCTAGAGGACAGGGGTTGGACTTCCATGTGCTACAGAAGGCCTAGAGTTCATTTTAGGTGGTATTAAGTGAATCCAGCCTTACCGTGTGGTAGCCTTGCCCTGCTGGTAGTGAGCTGGGCAAAGGTTCATTTCAGCTTCGCAACCACAATGACTTGTAATGGTTTTTCATTCTGTGGTCATGTGTTTTTCCCCTTAGCCTGTCAGTATCTCTTACTCTCTTTTCACAGCCTGAACCCCTGACCAGGACAACCGGCTAGAAGATGGATGGTGAATTTATTGTCCTAAATGGGACAAAAGGTGCTTTTGTATACACTTTTAATGGTCATTTCAGTAGTACGGATGCACTTCAACACAATACAATGTAGTTTAACTACAATTACATATTAATACTACCTGGAATTAATACCTGGAAGATAATTTCGTCAACAACTCTACTAAAGTAAACATTTTTAACTACTCTGGAACGCCTTGAGAACAGAAATTTGGGTTGAAATGTTTGGTTAGTTTATAAAAGAGAAAATACTGAATTAAAGGAGTCAATATATAGTACAAAAGCGCCAAATGTTTCACGCTTGAATAACGCGACTGCTTTTACAAAACGGATCCCTCGATCAGGGCGACGCGGGGACTCCGTGGGCAATGGTTTGCCTTATCCCACAGGGTTTGTGATTTAAATCCAACTTCTCCACGTATCGCATATCCCATCCGTGTGCCCTATGCTCAGTGGGCGTATGGAGTGCTAGATCGCAGTCTATCACAGTTCTGTCGCATTGGTTTTTTCTAACACAGGCGACCACGAGAAAGTTATCAAATAAATTTTCTGTGTACTACTACTTTATAGCCTTAGAAATGAACAAATTCCCGCGTGCATAAACAGTCCGTGTATGATTTACTTACGTTTAACATCGACCACAATACTTAGTAATGCTCTACATTAAATTTATGGCCGCAGAATTTAAATGAAATTTCATGTAGAATTGCATAGGATCTTCTTTTAGGTTAAATGCGGTACTAACCGCATCGGTTAGCGTTCCCCTATGGTGAAGCCTATGTAATTTTACCCGGAAGTACATTTTATGATAAGAATGGCAAGGTCGGGCAAATTTTAACTTTATTACTTTGTGACTGCACTGTAAAAATGGTCTTGGCTTATTTAAGGCGTATTGGCTCTCTGCATACAAACCCCGTGTATCGTTTTGCCCACGAGTACTCTGTAGGTAGGAGAAACTACTCGGCACGGGTAAGGGCAATAACATTTCTGTATTGTGTTTGAATGTATAGTCCATTTGGGAGAGAAGTGTGCAAAGGGCAACGAGTCTAAAGCTATGCTCACTTGCCTGAAACAGCCTTGTGCGAGATATCTTTGTCGATCATTTCCAGATATTCCGTAATGTTCATTAAACATAGGACCTATGTTATTGCCGCGGCGTCCATAGATCCTGTCGGATCACGCATGTTCATGATTAATGGTGTTGCTGTTTTTAACCTCAAGTTACCTTAACAAGCTGTAGTTTATGACCAGGATTGCGACGCTGTGTGCACCAGGCTGGCAAAGTGATGGTTTGAATCGAGGTGCAACTCTGCTGCCCCCTGCAGGGCAGCACTCTCGAGCAGGCGGTGGCAGCGTTCCGGAGCGTAGTGGGAGAGGATGGTGTGTCACTGGGCACTGCAGTCAGAGACCAGCATGGCAGAGACGAGTCAATGCACCGGTGAGGGCAACCAGTCTTATCCTGTCAGTCAGAAACCTGCTCTCCTAGCAGACAGAAGCTCTAATCAGGGTGTGGCCCTGGTTCATATCTGCTTGACTTTGCTAATTCTGCTTCATCTGGGGGTGTGTCCAATGCCCTCAGTGAGTCATCACTGCTATTTTGATTCACCTGTGGGGTCTCTGTTGGTCCTGTCCAGTTGTTGTCCTCCAGATGTTGTGGTTTGGCCCTGTTCTGTTGAGGAGGTCAGCGCCCTGGCCAAAATCTGCTATCAGCACCAGCTTCCCATCATCCCCTTTGGTACAGGCACCGGTCTTGAGGGAGGAGTCGGAGCAGTAAAGGTGAGTGTCAAAGGTGAGGCTAACAGTGTTAGCGGAGCTGGGTAGCAGCAGTGTCGTACATGAGGGGAGAATGAGGAATGGTCGAGCAAGGACTTTGAGCGTTGATTTACTGTACATTATTACACTCCTAAATTATAAAATCACAAATTGGGTTATTTATGTAAAAAATATTTATATTATTATCAGTTTGCACATTTCATTATTTATCAGTGTTTATGTAGTCCCCCCCCCCCCCCATGAACATCATGGTATAGTCCAGATTTGAAGAAGATAAGATACCCACTGAATTCAGTTATACTCTGTACATGTTTGAGCATCCTAAAAATATGTTAAAACAAAAAACAAAACGAATTCCTAGTTAATAGAGAGCAGACAGAAAGGACAGAAAGCTTAAGTCAGTGTTTCTCAAACCAGTCTTCAGGGACCCCCAGAGAGTCCATACTTTTGCTGTTGTGAAGGAGCAACATCATGGATCATCTGGGGATCCCTCAGGACTGGGTTGAGAAACACCGGCTTGAAAGAATGACTGCTCAGTGATGTACATCTGGAGTGGCGCTATCTCCTGGCCTGTGTGTCCTATTGTCAGGGAGGCGTGTGCTTCAACCTTGGTAAGATGGACTGCATCCTAGACCTTCATCAGGAAGACTTTGATGTAACAGTGGAGCCGGGTGTCACTCGCAAAGCCCTCAACGCCTCCCTGCGTGACACTGGCCTTTGGTTTCCCGTCGGTAAGTGCCCCGCCCTGCCCCCAAAGAGCCCAGTCGTTTATGTGTGTCTGTCCTTCTGCCCCATTTCTGTTCTTCACTCCGCGTAACACGTAACACTTGCCCCGCAGATCCAGGTGCAGACGCGTCCCTCTGTGGCATGGTGGCCACCAGCGCCTCGGGCACCAACGCAGTGCGCTATGGTACAATGCGGGAGAACGTGCTGAACCTGGAGGTGGTGTTGGCGGATGGCACTGTTATACACACTGCAGGCAGGGGGCGCCGTCCCAGGTAGCAGTGCAGGTTTGCACTTCTAACCATGTGACCAGTGCATTTAATGTCATTCATATTTCTTTTAGATATCCGACATGGAAATATTATTATTATTATTATTATTATTATTATTAGTACCCTGCTTGGTCACCTTGAATGGATTCAGTCCAGGGTTCTGTACCTTCAGGAAGACATCGGCAGGATACAACCTAACCAACCTGTTCGTGGGCTCAGAGGGCACGCTGGGCCTGCTGACCAAGGCCACCCTGAGGCTCTCTGGCATCCCCGAGGCCGTGGTGTCGGCTGTCTGCTCCTTCCCCTCAGTGCAGGCGGCGGTGGACAGCACTGTGCAGCTCCTGCAGGCCGGCGTTCCCATCGCGCGCATTGGTGAGCGTGTCGTAGGTGTGGTTCGTGTGATCGGTGCAGTCAGTGTGATCAATGTGGTCAGTGCAGTCCGTATGATCAGTGTGATCGTTGTGGTCTATGTGATCGGTGTGGTCCACATGATTGGTACGGTCAGTGCAGTCCGTATGATCAGTGTGATCGTTGTGGTCTATGTGATTGGTGTGGTCCACATGATTGGTACGGTCAGTGCAGTCCGTATGATCTGTGTGATCGTTGTGGTATATGTGATCGGTGCAGTCCGTATGACATGATTAGTATGGTCAGTGTAGTCCATATGATCGGTGTGATCGGTGTAGTCCATGTGATCGGTTCATTCTGCCTGAGCCTCATTGACATGTGCATCCCTCTTCTGCAGAGTTCCTAGATGATGTCATGATGGACGCCTGTAGGTGTTACAGCAGCCTGCCATACGTCGTGGCTCCCACCCTCTTCCTGGAGTTTCACGGCAGCAAGAGCAGCCTGGAGGAGCAGGTCACCGTCGCAGGTGAGTGCCTGTGCGGGAGTTTGCATTTGGTGAGGCTGCCTGATGTGTGAGACCTATGCACTGCTCCTGTGTGATTGTATGAAGTGGGCGTGGCCATAGGTCCCGCCCTGCTCCTGTGTGATTGTATGAAGTGGGCGTGGCCATAGGTCCCGCCCTGCTCCTGTGTGATTGTATGAAGTGGGCGTGGCCATAGGTCCCGCCCTGCGTGGACTCTGTCTGACCGTCGTATGTGTTTCGTGGGCCAGAGGACATCACGCGGGGGAACGCAGGCTCGGATTTCAGCTGGGCGCGGGATGCGGAGACTCGCGAGCGGCTTTGGAAAGCACGTCACGACGCCTGGTATGCAGCCCTGGCACTGCGACCTGGGTGTAAGGTGAGGCGTTACCGTGGCAACACAGGACGTGAGCAGCCATCTCCCTCAATGACACCTCCGGCGGAGAGTGATATACATTCTGTCAAACTGTGTGAAAATGCCAGTTTTTTTTTCTTCCATATTTATTGATGTCTATGTTGATTTTGCTCTCACGCTGAGGCGTCACTTTGCATTTTCGTCCTTACTGCAGTGCTTTGTGCTTCCCACAGGCATACAGCACAGATGTGTGCGTTCCCATCTCTAACTTACCTCAGGTTGTCGTGGAGACCAAGCGGGATCTGATGCAGAACCACCTCACAGGTATCTGAGATAACGCTGAACATGCGAGCACATCGCATTCCATCCACGTGTCTTGATCCCTCAGATATAGTCACAGTTAGCCTTGACATTTGCCTATTTGCCCAAACACAAACACCCAGACCCCTCACCATGCTTCTGTGCTGGCCTCCCCAGGTCCCATCGCTGGCCATGTAGGAGACGGAAACTTCCACTGCTTGATGGTTTTGGATCCGAATGACGCAGACGAGGTGCAGAGGGTCCATCAGTTCACAGAGAGGCTGGCTCGGTACGGTCTGTCACCCTGTCCATCTCTCCAAATTACCGTTTTCCAGGTTTCAAATTTAAATACTGAGAAAGTTTCCAATAAAGTAAAAACACAGATGAACTGATAAACGTAGCATTTCTAAAACATTTCCCCCCACACAGGAGGGCTCTTGCCCTGGATGGGACGTGTACTGGAGAGCATGGGATTGGTTTGGGCAAGAAGGCATTGTTGTGTGAAGAAGTGGGACCCCAGACCATCAAGGTCATGCATTCCTTGAAGGCCGCCATGGACCCTGCAAACCTCATGAACCCTGGGAAGGTGCTGTAAGGGAACGTCGAGTAAACGCACAATCCAAGCACTGCTATACCCAGGTTCACCATTAGGTGGCAGCATTTGGTTAAAAGCATCGTCTCAATGACTTGAGGTCTTTTTTCTGTTGTCGCTTTTTGGTTCATGGTTGTAAGCACTGTGTGGTGAGTAGTTTTTTAAATTATTTATTTTGAATTTATATGTTGTGTATTATTCACTGTGCCTCCTTCTTGATAGCGTAACCGGCTGTGTAAATGATCAGATTAAGCTAAAGGACAGGGCTGATCCATTCAGATGGTGTTCTGTCCTCCCCTCACCCAGCATAGCTCTGAGAGATGGAGGTGCCTGCATGAGACCTTTTAACCAAAAACACCAACGTTCCCATTAATAAACACAATTTAAATGAACAGCGGCTCACTGTACTAAATCAGATCACTGTTACGATGACTATGCAGTTCCAAAATTACACATTATTCTCCATTTGGTTTTCTATAAAGTAGAAAGAGCACATCTTGTATATTCATTTTAATTCTGTATTGTATTATTCATCCCACAGGTTGCACATCAAAATCATTCAGGTCTACCACCTAAAATCAAGCCTCCCTTCACATCTTGGAAAAAAAAACCTGAACCAGTCTGATATGAAACCAAACAAAACCGTAAATGTTGGGGTTTTCTCTGGCACTGACTTGATCAGCTGTGTGGGGTGGAACTGATAGTGATTTCTGGAAAACAAGAGATTCTGGGTATCTGAAAGAACTGGTCCATCTGTAATTGTGGTTATTCAGTACTTCAGTCTGTTAAGCTGGTCTGTTAAGTGTGGAGGAAGGCTGATAATATATTACTGCCCCTTGTTATTTCCACACAAGCATTTGACTATACTTGACATTTGACTCTATTTCAAATCAAGGCAAAATACAGTAAAATACATACCACAGCTCCCGAAAAAAAAACTTTAAATGACTAATGTCATTCTGAAGTTTAAGTGTGAACTTCGTTGATACTCGCCAAACGTTATTAAAAAAGTCCAGCAGCCTTTGTGAGGACAGTACTGTCACGGATGTCACTGAGTTTGATGAAAACATGGCGGGATCTTCTACAATGTGGTTATTGTGTGAGGCTCCTGTGACAGCAGCAGAGATAACCATCACATGAAAGAAGAGAAAATATGGCAAAAAAAGTCACTTCCAGCTACTGCAGGTAGAAGTGTACCCCAAGAATACACACGCACACACGCACACACGCACACATCTCCCTTTGGGCTGCTGGATGATTGTCTACAGGCAACACAACGCTGGGATGTAAACGGCGTCGCCTCAGAATCTGGACACGCTGAAAAAAGGGTGGGGATGACTGGCTTATTACACTTGGAGAACATGTTCGCTGCTCAGGCCTGCATATTTACAAATGGCTGCACTTCAGGCAGGTCTTATCAGATTCAGCAAGTCTGCCGGAGAATTCAAGGAAATGGATGTTTTCTATTACATGTGGTACATGTGCAACCATTCAGGGTAGTCGCTTCCGCAAGCCTAGAAGGAAGGTTCCTCCTCTCTGACTCACACACGGAGGATGAGCCCCCTGGGCCCCCCCACAGAGAAGTCGTGTTGATCACAGGGTGTGGAGCCCCTTCACGCTTTACCACTGAGGAAAATCAGGAGTTTTCTCAATAAAGTGTAAACATTTCTGTGAAGTAAGTTAAAAATAAACTGAAAGAGCAGGAGGAGAGAGGCAGGCGAAATGCATCTGTGGACATCTGAAAGCCCAGCGCGACGTCCCAGGCCCACCTCTGACCTCTCTGTGATTTTCCGAGTCTTCTCCTATGTGAAGGACGGATCCCCCTCCCCCCCGCCAAAACCACTATACTCATGTTGTATCATGCTGAAACTCCTCTTGGTCAAACCTTTTTCTATTTCCAGCTGGATTCAAATTTTTTATTTATCCAGGTAAGCATTACTGACCGGCTAGTTTGGGCCTGCATTGCACCGAGAAGCCTTTCAGTACCACCCCCCCCTGAGCTGGTGGATGCTCTCGTGGGCTCTGGCCCTGGCCCTCCTCCCAGCCTGTGCACCTCCTTCCTGCGAGGCCTCCTGCTAATGAAATGGAGTCTGATGATACATGCGGCATGCTGCTCCAAGCTGCGCCTCCTTGTCCCAGATCGTCCACCTTGTCTGCTTCTTCATCCAGTCTCTCTCCGGGGGGGTCGGTGGGGGGCTATCGGCACGCTGTACAGCAGGGCAGGGATGAGGTGGGGTGTGGCAGCGGGGCTGGGGGTTTCTGAAGGAGTTAGTCTGTCAGGCTAGGGGGGACTTTGGGTCAGTCTTGGAGGTGTCAGTGTTGCTCTGATATTTAATTTGCTATGTAATTCTCTCACTTGATTGGCTGATTTCTTTGTTTCTTTTTTTGTTTTTTTGGTTGTTTCAGTGCCCAGGTATCTATCCATCCAGGCTAATAAAGTCCCTGCGGAAGAGAGGATGAGAAAGAAAGCGACACTGCTTATCATGTGCCTTTATTTATGAAGGTCTGAACAGATATGTCACAGAAACTGCGTGTGTGTCACTGTGTGTGTGATGGTGTGTAAGTGTGTGACTGTGTGCAACAGTGTATGTGTGATTGTTTGTGTGTGTCGTATTTTGTTTGGTTAAGGTTAGGGCTGGGTAGGGGTTAAGGTTGTCATTATTAGGTTGTGTCATTATGGTTTTGACCATAGAAATGAATGGATGATCTTCAGAAAGATATGAATACTGGTCTGTGTATGGTTGTGTGTTTATGTGTGACCATGTGTGTGTATGTTCATGTGTCTCCGTTGATGTGTGTATGTGTGCGCTTGTGCATTCCTGTTGATGAATGTGTGTGTGCTTGTGCATCCCTGATGATGAGTGTGTGTGTGCTTGCATCCCTGATGATGTGTGTGTGTACTTGTGCATCCCTGATGATGTGTGTGTGTGTGCTTGTGCATCCCTGCTGATGTGTGTGTGTGCTTGTGCATCCCTGCTGATGTGTGTGTGTGCTTGTGCATCCCTGATGATGTGTGTGTGTGCTCATGCATCCCTGATGGTGTGTGTGTGTGCTTGTACATCCCTGCTGATGTGTGTGTGTGCTTGTGCATCCCTGCTGATGTGTGTGTGTGCTTGTGCATCCCTGCTGATGTGTGTGTGTGCTTGTGCATCCCTGATGGTGTGTGCCGCCTTACCTGTGACAGGTGTATAACGTGGGGCTCAGTCTGATGGGTGTTCAGGGCAGGACCGGTTGATCTCAAACCAGGAATCTATACAGCTGCAGAGAGGCTAACTTTAAATACAAATCTGAAGATAAACACTGTCTTTTCATGCTCTCACTGCTCTCAATGGCATATATTATTCACATATAGTATGCAACACATATATCTTCTAGCATCCCATCCAGGTTGCACCCCAGCCTTGTGCCCTGTGCTGCCAGATGCGGGCTCCAGGGTCTTCCACACCCCCGACCAGCATAAGAGCTTAGAAGATGGATGCACAATTTGAACTGTTCTTTTCAGTTCCAGACATTACTATATTTAGTGTGCTGCAGTATTGTGTGATCTGGTGCTCAGTGAGGCAGTGTTCAGTTTCCTGTGGGTGTTTCCCTCCCCCAGGGATAACATGCCAAATGAAATTGCTCTCACCCACGTTCTGCCTACTCACGGTCAAATTTGGAGGGGGAGGGCAATCCATTCTTTAATGATTACCCCTATGTGGATAACTGGTTAGACACATTTTAGTGTATAGTGTGGGCAGAGCCAATTCCCTTAGCCGATCAGCCAGCTGTGAGCTTTGGGGAAGCTTAATTCTCACATGTCCCTCTTCTGGTAGTTCTGAAGGCTTTGGGAGGCGGCCATTTACCTTTTGTGGTAGATGCAGAGGCACGGCAGTCTGGCGATGGTGTCTCCCTGCTGGAGCTCCTCCAGGCAAATCACACACTCACCAGCATCCCTGGCCAGCACATCGTCTGCATGGAGCACAACACGGGGACTGTGCTTACACACGGGGACTGTGCTTACACACGGCACAGTACAAACTGCAGGTACACATGGCACAGTGCAGACTGTGGTTACACAGAGCACAATGCAGACTGTGCTTGCAGTGGACGAGGAGACTGCTTACACACAGCACATTGCACACTGTGCTTACAGTGGATGAGGAAACTGTGTTTACACACAGTACATTGCAGACTGTGCTTACAGTGGATGAGGAAACTGTGTTTACATACAGTGCACTGCAGAATGTGGTTACACATGGCACAGTGCAGACTGTGCCTACGGTGGACGAGGAGACTGGTGTTTACACATGGCACATTGCAGATTGTTTCCAAGGCATTAATGAGACTGTGGGTAGACACAGTACAGTGCAGATTGTGCTTACAGGGCACAGAGGAGACTGTGGTTACACACAGCAGATTGCAGACTGCAGTTACACACAGCACAGTGCAGACTGCTTGCAGGGCACAGAGAAGATTGTAGTTACACAGCACAGTGCACATTGTAGTTACAGGGCTCAGAAACTGATTAGCAAATGGGCCAAATAGATTGTGGATTTGCAGCACATCAGTTTGTGTCCTTAAACCTCTATAAAGTGAATATTCTACAAAGCAGAAATTAAAAAGGTTATAAGACCAAGTTACTTCCTGCAGAGGGCAGCATTGAGCACTGAGAATCCCAATCCTGTAGGGAGGGGCTTCTCTGACTGCTGCAGTAAAGCACGACCACTGAGTCAGACTGAGCGGCTCCTTCCCTGACTGTATGTGATGGTGGCCCTTCCCTGAGTGGTGCTATTCCTAATGCTCGGGCTGCACCTTTGGAGAACAGGCAGCGCTGATGCATACATGGCGAGCCTGATAGTCATCTCACAGCAGCACTGATCCTTATATCACCTGCAGCGGGTTCACGCTGACATAGCCCATCCAGGCGTTTTTGAGATCTGACCTATGAGCTAAAAAACTTCTGCACAAGCTAAAGCTGGAACAGGCAGCACTGGGGACTTGACTGTACTTGTCATCTCTGGGTCCCTGTCATACGAGGCTATAAATACAATGACCATCTCTCACCTGTTGATAGACGGGTTGAATTTTTGTTAATTCCCCCCCCCATAAGCCCAGTGCCTTTTCATTTTCAGTAGAGCTTTGGGCTTGTGGTTAGCTGGCGTGCTTTCTGGCTCATGGCTGCTCTGTGCGGCCTGGTAGGCACCCTCGCACTTCTCTGTCCTCTGGCCTGAAGTGAGGGGTGTGTGTGACAGGAAGTCAAATCTGAGGCACGGGGGCCCCTTCCTGCTGTGGTGTCTGCTTCCTGCAGTCAGCACTCTGCCCTTCGTTTCTTATAGAAAAGATCTCACTTAACCAAAGATAACCGACCGCATGTGTCATTTTGGTGACCCCATTGCATAAACATGGATGGTAATGATAATAATGTTAGTGCTGTCTCTAAACTGCCTGAATGCAGTGCCCGCCCCCCCCTGCGCTGGCCTGCCATGCCATGCTGTGTGTACCCTGCCCTTCTTAAGGCTGGTTCATACTTCTCCACACATCTACCAGCCAGCTGACCGAAGTTGGCAACCCTGTGAGCTGAATTTGTAAAACAAAGAAACAGACACAAACCTCACTGCTGTGGTATGTGAGCAGGGACTATCAGAATAATGATTTATATTATTATTATTATTAATAATAAAAAATGCATTGTGTGCATGTGCTTGACCAGAGCACTATGAACGTTTCTGTGTACGCATATGCAAGTGTTGCTTGCGCAGAGAAGTATGAACCAGCCTTTAGGATGGACACCAGTCTCACCTTATTCCAGTTAAGAGGTTGATAGATGGGTGTGTTAATAATTTTCACTTCATCAGTTTATATGGCAAGTGAAGTGTCTTTTGCGATAGCTGTAAATCTAACCAATTGTTGTTGCTCCAGTCTAAATTCAGGATGGACCTGTTTAATCCTACCCATAAATTGCATAAAATGCAACGCTTCACATGAACACGCATCTGTGGCAAACATGCATCGGCCATCTGCTCTAAGGAGCTGCAGTGTGTCTGAAGCTGATCTCAGGCCCCAAAGCGAATCACCAGTGGCAACGGGGCACTGAGGCTTGGAAGCAGAAGGACAGGGAAGTGAGGGTGATGTAGATATGAACAGTGACCAGGTGTGGGGGAGGGGTAATGTGACACAGAGAAAGCAGAAGATCAATTTACATCAGCAGGGAATCCAAAGCCCCAGCCCCTCTGCTGTGTGATAAAGGCCGTGCCCACCAGTGTGGCAGAATCATGCCACTGTACCTACCAGCATGGCCGAAACCCAGCGCTGTGCCTGCAAGTGTGGCAAAATTGTGGCATTATGTCTGCCAGCCTGACAGAGTGGTGGTGTTATGTCTGGCAGCGTGGGAGAATCACGACATTGTGAACACCAGTGTGGCAGAATCATGGCACTGTGCCCGCCAGATTGGCAGAAGCATGGCGTTGTGCCCACCAGATTGGCAGAAGCATGGCGTTGTGCCCACCAGATTGGCAGAAGCATGGCGCTGTGCCCGGCAGCTTGGCAGAAGAATGGCGTTGTGCCCACCAGATTGGCAGAATCATGGCGCTGTGCCCGGCAGCTTGGCAGAAGCATGGCGCTGTGCCCGGCAGCTTGGCAGAATCATGGCACTGTGAATATGTCTGCCAGGTTGGCAGAATTGTTGTGTTGTACCGGGCAGCTTGGCAGAATCGCAATGTTGTGACTGGAAGCTTGGAAGAATCGCAGGATTATGTCCACCAGCTTGCCAGAATCTCGCCGGTGTGCCATGTAGCTTGGCAAAATGGTGGCATTGTGCCCAGCAGAGTGGCAGAATCATGGCCCTGTGCCCAGCAGCCTGGCAGAATGATGCCAGTGTGCCTGGCAGCTTGGCTGAATGGTAATGTTGTGTCCACCAATGTGGCAGAATTGTGACATTGTACCCGCTACCTTTGCATGACCGTGGTGTTATGTCCCCCAGCTTGGCAGAATGGTGGTATTCTGCCTGCCAGCTTGGCAGAATCGCGCTTTTATGCCTGGCAGCAAGGCAGAATCGCAGCATTGTGCCCGATAGCTTGGTAGAATGGTGGTGGCGTGCTTGACAGCTTGGCAGAATCGGGGTGTCGTGCGCGGCAGTGTGGCACAATCGTGGCATTTTGTCCACTAGCGTGGCAGAATTGTGGCATTGTGCCCAGTAGCTTGGCAGAATCTCGATTTTTTGCCAGACAGCTTGGCAGAATCATGGCATCATGCCCACCAGCTTAATTGTGTGTTCACCAATGAGGCAGATTTGTAACGTTGTACCCGCCAGCGTGGCAGAATCATGGTATTGTGGTTGACAGCTTTGTCCATCAAAAGTTATGTCCATCAATGTGGCAGAATCGTGCTTGGCAGAATGGTGGCACTGTGCCCGGCAGCTTGACAGAATCACGGCATTGTGCCCACCAGCAGAATCGTGGCATAATTGTCAGGGTCAGCCCCTGCTGTGGTCCTACCGTGTCCCTTCCCCGTTTGGCCAGCAGGCGTTGCTGGTCATCCCGTCCTTCATGTTAGTCTTTGTTCTCCTCTGTTACCTGTCTGGTCACGTGGCTCAATGTGTTGAGCATGGTGTTGTCTGTGTACCCTTCTGTCCTGAGTACCCTTCTGTCCTGTGTTCAAATCCCGCCTCCTCTGTTTTTGTATTTTGCTCCCTAGTGTTTCATTTCAGTTTCTTTAGTTCTTGTGTCTGATTTTGTAGTTGGTCTTGGTTTTGTTCCTTGTGCTCCTGCTTGTGTCTTTACCTGTTTAATTCCCTAGTGTTGGTTTCTGTTTCCCTGTTTCCTTGGTTAGGTCTTAGTTTCCCTGTTTTGTTCCTTTGAGTTTATTAGTTTCACCTGTGCCCTGTTGTCCTGGTCTCTGTTAATTAGTCTCACCTGTCCTGTGTTAGTCTTATTACCCAGTTTTGGTTTCTGTATTTAAGTCCCTGCTTCTGTTCTGTTCTCAAGTGGCTCATTGTTGTTGCTTGTCTAAGCTTGGTTAGTTTGAAGTTTGATCTGGCTTATGGTTACCTTCCCAGTTTATGTTTATTTGTGATTTGTAGTCTTAGTTTATTCTCTTTAGTTTTTGACCCTTGTGGTCCTTTTTGGTTTTGTTGTGTTTTCTGTTATTTAATAAACCCCTTTTATGTTCCTGGAGCCGCTAGTGGGTCGCCCGCCCTTTTTGTGCCCGATGCCACGTCCTCGTGTCCGAGCCGCCCGCATCCATGACAATAATGTCCACTTGTATGGCGGAATCATGGCATTGTGCCCATCAGCTTGGCAGAATGGTGGCCTTGTGGCTGACAGCTTGGCAGAATCACAGTGGTGGGCTTGGCAGCTTCACAAAATCGCTGTGCTGTGCCCGACAGTGTGACAGAATTGTGGCATTATGTCGCAGCGCTGTGTCCCCCAGCATGGCAGAGTCACAGCATTGTGCCCAACATCTTGGTTAAATCATGATGTTATGTCTGCCAGCTTGGCAGAATCTCGCTGGTGTGCCCGGCAGCTTGGCAGAATCGTGACGTTGTGCCCGGCAGTATGGTAGAATGGCGTGGTGTGCCCAGCCAGCTCTGAGCAGCCTGCTGGCCTGACATCCCTTCTGAGATATAACCCTAAGGCCCCATGACGTCCCCACAAAGCCAGTAAGGGGGACACATTCTCCAGATGTTTACTGTTGGTGGTGAAAAATGTTGACATTCGATATGATAAAAAGCGCGATTCGATATGCCAGTATACACTAGGGCAGGGGGTATGACGGGTCTCTAACGTGCTGGGTTGTGGTTACCCCTGGTGGGGGTGGGGGGGGCTTCCTTATGCAGGATGTGATAAGGGACAGTAGAACCCACCTCGACTACTCTGCCACAGGAAGGACTTGATCTCCTCTGCAGACCTCATCCCTGGAGATGAGGGACAGCCTGGGCAGTTTTGTGCTACACCTGTGACCTGTGGTGGTGGCCCTCCCCTTACGGAGCACACCCCCCCCACACGAGTCTTTGAGGCCTGACTTTGCCGGATGATATTTTAATACCTTCAGCTAAAAATAGTTTGTTTTTCCGGGGAGGGGGGCACAAAGGGTGACAGCTTACTGGACAGAGTCGCTTCTGCCCCTTGTGTTACCCTTGTCATGACTTTGTGTCACCAGTCTGCTGTGTGGGTACAGGCCACATACTGATGGATGAGGGGAGCTGGGGAAAGAGAGAAGGCCACCAGAAGACACACACACACACACGTGGGCAGGAACACCATCCTCAATCATAAGTCATTTAGGGAATCTGCACATGCAGGTCATTATAGCATGGGTGTTGAGTTGACCACATAATTCTGGGAAATGACTTGGCTTCTTGTTGTGTGACAGAGGGAAGGGGGAGTGTGGGGCTGGAGTGATTTAGGGTGATAGAAGACAGGCTTTCCCCTGTGGGCTTAACTGTATGGTGTGTGTGTGTGTGTGTACATTAATCTGCACTGTACAGTGTGTGTTTGTATATTAATCTGTACTGTACAGTGTGTGTTTGTATATTAATCTGCACTGTACAGTGTGTGTTTGTATATTAATCTGCACTGTACAGTGTGTGTTTGTATATTAATCGCACTGTACAGTGTGTATATTAGGTTGCTACAAAATTCCAAAAGTGTGCATTTGAATTGAAACACAGCGAGAACTTATAGCAATTACTGAGGAGAATTCATGGATTAAATTTTCCTTCTAGTCCTAAATTTAGGGGTCCCCCAGAAATGCTTCTTTTCTTATCAAATGCAGATTAAACCAATTTTCTGCAGATACGCAACAGTTCGAATTTATATCAGTAACCATATAGTCCGTATGCACTACAGTCACTTCTCTGTCCATTTATATTAAATGATTATATATCAGAACAATCCAGAAATGCAAAAATCATATTAACAAAATGAAATCAGTCTGCAATACAGAAGGCCTGTAGGCATGAAGCAGTTGAACCTGTGCTTTGCAACCACCTTTAGAAGGTACTGTTTTTGGGACTCATCCCTCGTGAGATAACTATTAAAATTTGCTGCGTGAGTGATTGCACGTTTAGCAGTATTGTTGATGCCAGTCATGCCCTTGATCTCCTGGTATGTGGCACCATCCTCCCATGTCGACAGGGCTTTCACAGGAAAGGTCAGAGACCTCTGTTAGCCATTTGGAAATATCCCATCGAAGATTCTCCTCCTATTGGTAATGTAGTTATGGAGGGCTGTCAGAGAAAAGTTCTCCAATTTCTCCACCATCCTCATCTTGTCCTCCGAAGAGATACACTCATCAAAAAATATCTTTTGATTCATCAACATGAAGTAAACTGCCTGAAACAATTTCATAAATAATTTCATAGACCCAATGCAAGTCCACATTTTGGGGGACCTCTAAATTTTGCACATACTGTAGGTTCACAGTATGAAACGGAAACAAGGCACAAAGTGTCAAATTGTGTAGCTAAAACTTCTTTGGAATGCTTTTGTTGATGTACTACTCTAGTGTGTATGTACATTAATCTGAGCTGTAAGGTGCAGGTACATTAATCTGTACAATATGGTGTATATAGGTGCATTAATCTGTACTATACATTGTTTGTTGGTACATTAAACTCTAGTATATGGGGTGTGTATGTACATTATACTGTACGATATGGTGTGTTTATGTACATTAATCTGTACTGTACAGTGTGTATGTACAATAATCTGTACTGTATGGTGTGCATGTACATGAATTTGTACCACAGATGGCATGTCTGTACATTAATCTGTACCACAGGGTGTGCATGTACAGTACATCTGTACTGTAGGTAGAGTTTATGGTCATTTAAAAAAGGACCTAGTGCTTCCAGTCGAGTAAATGAGTGCATTATGCATATGCTGAGCAGTCAGTCTGAATGGCCCAGTGCAGTGATAGCCTGCTCTATGTGAGAAGGAGAGTGGGGAGTGAGGGAGACGGGGAGTGAGGGAGACAGGGAGTGAGAGAGAGGGAGACAGAGCACGGGGAACGAAGTGTGGGATATACAGGCTTCACTCACCATTATAAGAGAGGCGGGGCTTGCTCAGACACATGATGAAATGTACCTCCATCTCATTGGAGGCCACAGACTTGGAGCACACGGGACACTTGAAACCTGCAGAATAGACAAGGTGAGAAGGACATGTCTAGGAAGTCATGAAACCATAGATACAGACTCTGATATTACTGTACACCAACCCAGAAGGTCATTAAACCACAGTCACACACTCTAATATTACTGTACACCAACCCAGAAGGTCATTAAACCACAGTCACACACTCTAATATTACTGTACACCAACCCAAGAGATCATTGAACCACAGAGACATACTCTGATATTAGTGTACACCAACCCAGGAGGTCATTAAACCACAGAGACAGACTAATACAGTACTGTATATCATCCTAGATTCCTAGAAGGTTATTAAACCACCGATACAGATGGTGATAGTACTGTACATCATCCCAGGAGGACATTAAACCACAGATACAGACTCTGATAGTACCTTACAGTAGGCTTGCTGAGATTAGTCAATGTAATCAATGACATTGACACTGAAAATGCTTCGACATTAATATTTTAAATCGATGCATCTTTTAAAAAATTATTTTAATGAAATTACCTTTTTGATTTCTAAAACGCTTCAATTCATTATAAGAAATGTCTTCCTTAAATATCACTACGTAATTATGGGAGTAGTTCAAATTAACCAAAAAGGTGGTTTTACTTCAAACAGTGGTTCTCTTACTCATCATTGTGTGCTTTATGCTAAAGTAAATTGGTCATCTTTACAAGCTCATCGGCTTAGTCACTGGTATGTGTTTATATATAAAGCCATTCTGGGTAAAATTCCTTCTTATTTATCATAATTCCTGATCTGGAAGCAAGGAGGTCGTAATCTTCGCTCGACGGACTTTTTAAAACTGGTTGCTCCAAAAGTAAAAACTTGAGAATTGGGAAAGAAAGCTTTTAGGTCTTCAGCACCTGACGCGTGGACCTCCAGAGTAGGCAAAGCGACTGCAAGTGCTGACAATTCATGTTAATTAAATGACTGTTACTAGGGAGAGCTTTTTAATATCTTTTGTCATAGTATTATTAAAGCCATAAAACTGTCTGCCTGCTACCTTAGGAACTCATTTGAATAAGTGAGAAAATGTTTAGACTACAATCTGGGCTTATTCTACATTGATTGACGGTGCCAGCGTGCATGTTCATGTACGTTGGGCTTTGTGGGACCATTGTAATTATCGTAAACCAAAACCGAAATGAAAACTGACACTAAATTAAAAAATAATAATTCGTGAACTGAAATAAAATTGAAAACTATACTTTACAAGAAAAGTGTTGGAATTTAAACTGCATAAAGTGCCACCAGGATTTTGTTTAAACCAACCAGTTGAGTATAAAGAGTCACAGTCACAGAGTACTTAACTGGTTGGTTGAAACAAAATCCTGATCTGGATTTGTACTCTCTGGACCTGAAATCTCCACCTCTACTTTTTACTTTGTTTAACTACAATATCTCCCTTTTTAAAAACATGTTGTGGCTGCTGACCTGTCCCTTCCTTCACCGTGACTTATCACTTTCATGTGTATGTCAAAACAGTCACGTGTGGTGGGCTCTGCTAACCAAATTTATTAAGCACAGGGATATGCCGAATTTATAGATTACTATGGAACGCCAAAAGAGTCACACACATTGTCTTAAGTGCATTATTGATGCATTTTTATGCCTCCCATTCTTGACAGGCTAAAAGCGCCTTGATGTCACGTAATTTCTGCGTACATAAGATATAAAATATGTGTGTTTGAGGTGTTTTTTACATTTGCACTTGAGCTGTTTTTTGCGTGTCCTTTTGACATGTAATCAACGCCTTGTTGAAACGTTTTTTTGTGTGATATGATGACACATAATTGACACTTTATTTGCACAATTTTTTACTCGTGTCATTTTTGACAGACTAAAAGTACCTTGATGTCACATAATTTCCACGTACTTAAGGTGTACAATACTCATGTGCGTATGCACTTAAGACCATGCGTCAGTTGAGCTGTTTATGACCCTTTTGCTGTTCCATAGATTACTCAGTTTTGGGCATCACAATACTGTACCTCTCATTAATATTTTAGGCATACTACTAATATACTTATCGAATTGTGGGCATAAGTCACGTCCGTATAGTGCAGAAAAGCTGGTGTTCTGTCGAGTTGAGGTACTTTGTCGAGTTAAGCTACCGTAGTGCTAATCAATTGCTCTAACCCTAACCCTTGCCCTGACCCTAACCCTAACCCCAAAAAAACCCCTAAACCCCTTACCCTATCCCTAAGCCTAACCCCAAAACGGTGGAACTGCACATGCGCAGAAAGGCTCGATAGTACATCTCGATAGGTAGCTCAACTCATCAGAACATGTATGTTGGCTTGATAGCTTCATAACCGCAATTCCATATCGGTATGTGTTACCACCACGAAAAACTATAGATATGTTTTCCTGATAAATTTCTTTATTAGGGCACCTCTTTTAAAAATACAGTTTATTTTGGCATTGTAAATTTCCTTATCAGACTATTTTACTCTCTTTAAAATATGTAGGTGTGCTATTTTGATAATGTATGACAAACAGATAAATGTAGCAATAGATTTGCACTACCAGATTGCTATTCTGATAAAATGTCAAGATGTCAGAACACCGGCGTCCGTTATATAAAGCCCTGCAGTGACATGCTGTTTGTTGTCAAAATAAAATGAAGTTAAATAAAATGGTTGAAAATTTGATTTTCTGGAGGAAAACGAATTGTTTAGATTAATAGACCAATCAATAAAATAGTTGATAGATTAATTGATAGAAAAATCGTTAGTGGCTGCCCTACTGTACACCATTCCAGGAGGTCATTAAACCACAGATGCAGACCATGATAGTACTGTACACTATCTCCTAACCAAAAACTCTATTCAACTATATGCCCAGCACATTCTGTGGGTTTTACTGTTGTTACCAGTGAAAGTAATACATTTTAAATGTATGTTCATGTGTGTTTTAATTTTATTGTGACTGTAAGCCTATGATTTGTGCATTTTTACAATATAGTAAATGACTATATTGGTCAACAGTCGATATCAGATTCTCTCTGTTTTCAGTTAAGTATGAAATCAGCATAATGATCAAAGAAAGGATGGGTAGCACGAAAAACAGGTTATTCAAACTGTACATACTCACTGGCCACTTTATTAGGTACAGCTATTCAACCACTCGGTGAAGTAAAAATCTAATCAGCCAATGATATGTCAGCAGCACAATGTGTAAGAAATGCAGGTACAGGTCAGGAGCTTCAGTTAATGTTCATATCAAGCAATAGAATGGGGAAGTGACTTTATTGTTGGTGCCAGATGGGCTGGAATGAGTATTTCAAAAACTACTGATTTGCTGGGATTTTCACACACAGCCATCTCTAAGGTTTACAGAGAATGAGCTGAAAGAGAAAAGTTTCAAGCTGATAGAAACGCAACTGTGACTCAAATAACCACTCATTACAAACAAGATATGCAGAAAAGAATCTTTGAACACAGAACACATGGAACCTTGAAGCAGATGGGCTACAGCAGCAGAGACCAAACCGGGAGCCACTGCTGCCAGCGAAGAACAGGAAAATGAGCCTAAAGTCGGCATGAGCTCACCAACATTGGACAATGGAAGACTGTAAATAATGAGTCACCCTACTGACTGATGGTAGGGTCAGAATTTGATGTAAACAACATGAAAGCATGGATCCATCCTACCTTGCATCAAAAATTCAGGCTACTGGTGGTGTAACGATGTGGGGGATATTTTCTTGGCACGCTTTGGGTCCCTTAGTACCCGTTACTCATTGTCTAAATGTTACAGCCTTCTTCAGTATCACTGCTGACCATGTCCAGCCTTTTATGACCATAGGCACGGTTGACAAATTTGTAGCGACTGTGTGATGGAATCATGTCAACATGGACCTAAGTCTCTAAGGAATGTTCCAAGCTCCTTGTTGAATCTATGCCATGAAGAATTAAGTTCAGAAGGCAAAAGGGAATCCAAACCAGCGCTAGTAAGCTGTACCTAATAAAGTGGCCAGTGAGTGCACATTCACTACAGTGACAAATGTGGATTACTGTGAGAAAACATCTGTCTCTAAATGTCAGTCTCCTATACCCCAAGCAAAGTTAAACAGAGAATAAAAGCTACATAAATCATAAAAACAAATTAGCAAATGAAGAATGTTTTAGAGCCAATTTGCCTGTATCTTAGACACTTGTGTATTACCAGGAGAATGGAATGATACTGATGGACATCAATCAAAAATACACATCAAGAAATGATTACCCCTCAACTCAAACATAAATTTAATTGTGACTAAATAAAATAAAATATTTATGATAATATTTAGAATAAAATAAAATAGAAATATTTCCACATTAAGGTTAACCGTGTAATACAATCACTTCTTTTAGATGTAAAATTTGGTAATAAATCTACAGATAGCAGCAGCAATGAACCAAACACCAATGCACAAATTATTCAATTAATCATTATGGGGGTAGAATATTACTTATAACCAGAATACATTAGTGATTTGAAAAGCTGCTAGATCAGGGGAAAAAACTCCCAGGGATACCGCAGCGATTGAATCTGAGATGTAGGAATTCTTCTTCTTTCTACAGGGAGCCCAAGGAGGCGATGGTGAATCATTCAGGAGCTTCTGAAACAGATGAAGAGCGATGGCTGAGGTGGCCTCCGGGGACAAAGACATCTTAAGCACAGCCATAGTGTGCACCTTCAAAGGCAGCCTTCCCACAACAGCTGTATTTCCTAAGATAAGCGATAGGAAAGGCAGGCCTTCTCATACTGAATCACTGTTAATGGGAATCCTGACATGGATGTTCCTCTGCCTTGTGCTCTGTGCTTCCTGGGACTGGGATAAGCTCCAGGATTATCCTGACCCTGCACTGAATAAGCAGTTATGGAAAATGAATATTGTATATTTATACACTATCGGCCATCATGTAAAAATGCCATAGCTGACATGACAAAATTATATCAAACTGCACTGGGAAAAATGCAGAAGTGGGCTCAGGCACAAGTCAC